CCTCTCCCCTCCCCTCCCCTCCCCTCCCCTCCCTCCCTCCCCCGCTGCCCTCCCTTCTCCCTCCCTTCTCCCTCCCGGCGTCCTCCTTGCTAGAGTTGCCGCAGAATGGCAGGAGTGCTACAAGGTCCCCCGGGGCCCCGGCCCCGGGCCCGGGCCCGGCGCCGACACTGCACTACTGGCGGTTCTCGCTGTCTTTTCTCTTCTCGCCGTTTGGCCTGTGCGACAGTGTCAGGGTCAAGCCTCCTCGACTCTCCTGATTGTCCTCGTACTGCTTTTTAACTTAACTTTGAGTAAAGTGAAAGACTGGCACCGTGGCCCACACGCCGGGTCACACCGGGTGGCCCAGCGCCGGGGCACGGTCGCGTGGGCCGGGGCCCGCCGCGCCGGGCGCGGGCCGATCGAATCGGCAATGATGACGGCCCGCGCATGGTACCGGTGTCAACCCGTTGAACTGTCAGTAGGAGGAGGCCGCTCGCCGCCGTGCCCTTGGGAGCCAGCATCGAGAGGATCCACCAGCACATGTGACAATCACCAACGCCTGGCGGCGGTCGCAAGAGCTGTGACGGGCATGGGATGGGATCAAGGACGAGTGACCATGGCGAGGAGGAGGCTGTCTCAAGCCTCCCGTGTGATCACAGCAGAGGCCCCCCGGCATCATGTCCATAGCATGCCGACCAGAGCTGCACAGGGCGAGGGTTTGGAGCAGAGAAGGGCGACGATGTAGAGTATGATGAATGAAATGGACCCTCACTCTCTCATGGTGAGCCTGAGCCCTCGAGGCATCGGTCATGCGCTTCCTGGATGGCACTTGCATGCCGCAAGGCCCCCCGCAAGCTCGATGTGCGTGGAGAGGCCAGAGCGTGAGGAAGCTGATGATGGGTATTAGGGGTGCGAACAGGGTGGGTATTAGGGGTGCGATCAGGCCTTGTCCTGCGTCCCCAAGGTAAGGTCAAGTCGCCGCTCGCCGCTAGCCCTTGCGAGCCAGCATCGAGATGATCCACCAGTACAGGACGATCACCAACGCCTGGCGGCGGTCGCAAGAGCTGTGACGGGCATGGGATGGGATCAAGGACGAGTGACCATAGCGAGGAGGAGGCTGTCTCAAGCCTCCCGTGTGATCACAGCAGAGGCGCCCCGGCATCATGTCCATAGCATGCCGACCAGAGCTGCACAGGGCGAGGGTTTGGAGCAGAGAAGGGAGACGATGTAGGGTAGGATGAATGAAACACACTGCACACACGCGCAGGACCCTCACTCTCTCATGGTGAGCCTGAGCCCTCGAGGCGCAAGCTCGATGTGGGTGGAGAGGCGAGAGCGGGAGGAAGCTGATGACGGGTACTAGGGGTGCGATCAGGGTGGTACTAGGAGGGGGTCCTCTGACGACGTCATGGCAGCGCTTTATAACCACCACCGTACCCACGATGGCGTGGGTCGACTTGGCCTCCCTTGAGAGACACAGTCTTCATCATCCAGCCATGTCGTCCTTGCTGCGCTATCTGCTCGCTACCGTCGCGTGCTCGAGGCCGTACTCTCTCACACATGTCGATCACGACGGCATCCTGCTTCTGGAGCATGCGCCGAGCTGCTTGGGATGGACCAAGTACACATGACATGAGAGCCCATGGTTGGCTTTATTCTACACCTCACACATATCACCACACTCCTCCTGTCATAGCTCCTGCCACCTCCCCCACGCGTCCTTGATCTTGCGATGCTCCAGAATCATCGAGATGCTCGCTCGCAAAGCTGCTATCTGCTTAGCGCGCCCAGCAGCAGCAGCGTGACGATGACCAGCCGACCCAGCTCCCGCGTGAGCTGCTGCTCTCGTCAGCGACGAGGGCGACGAGGAGGAGCAAGAAGAGGTGGGTCTGGGATGGGAGCTGGGAGCGGGGAGGGCAGAGGGGACAGAGTGAGGGCGGAGAGGAGTATCCATGGGAGGCAAGGCACGCACTGGAGCGGAGAGGAGCGTGGGAGCAGCAGGGAGGACAAGCACGAGGACGAGGACGAGTCTCGATAAGGAGGCTAGATAGGCTTCTGACCGTCAAAACGGGGGCGACCCTTGAGGGCTGCGGAGGGTCTTTGGAGTCCGAGACCTCGTGATCGATCCTTCTCTGACTGTGAGCTTGTCTACGAAACGTTGCTACTTGAGCACCTCTGTAAACCCGCGCTGTCAGCCGACCGTAGACCGCATGACCGGTGCGACCCGTTCGGAGCCTCGGAGTACCGACGCCAAGATGGAGTAAAACAACTTATGGGAACATCATGGTTATCGAACTGAAAGCTACCGAGTCACGAGGACTGTTTCTATGCGTAGGGCTCAACTTACAGTGCTTGGCTGTCGATGCTGACAAAATCATGACGAGAGGGCTCGTCGCCTCCTCCCGCACCTCCTCCTTTCATGTCCCCTCCCTTGTCCTGCGTCCGGCCCCCCTCCCCTTCAGGATGGGCTTACGGACGCCCTGCATCATGTGCATAGCATGTCGACTAGAGCTGCACAGGATTAGAGCTGCACAGGACAACAGACACGAAGAAGACGAGGTAGAGTAGGATGAATGAAACAATCTGTGCACACGCGCAGGACCCTCGCTCTCTCATGGCAACTTGGCCTCCCTTGAGAGACACAGTCTTCTTCATCCAGCCATGCCGTCCTTGCCGCGCTATCTGCTCGCTACCGTCGCGTGCTCGAGGCCGTACGCTCTCACACATGTCGATCACGACGGCATCCTGCTTCTGGAGCATGCGCCGAGCTGCTTGGGACGGACCAAGTACACATGACATGAGAGCCCATGGTTGGCTTTATTCTACACCTCACACATATCACCACACTCCTCCTGTCATAGCTCCTGCCACCTCCCCCACGCGTCCTTGATCTTGCGATGCTCCAGGATCATCGCGATGCTCGCTCGCAAAGCTGCTATCTGCTTGGCGCGCCCAGCAGCAGCAGCGTGACGATGACCAGCCGACCCAGCTCCCGCGTGAGCTGCTGCTCTCGTCAGCGACGAGGGCGACGAGGAAGAGCAAGAAGAGGAGGGTCTGGGATGGGAGCTGGGAGCGGCGAGGGCAGAGGGGATAGAGTGAGGACGGAGAGGAGTATCCATGGGAGGCAAGGCACGCACTGGAGCGGAGAGGAGCGTGGGAGCAGCAGGGAGGACAAGCACGAGGACGAGGACGAGTCTCGATAAGGAGGCTAGATAGGCTTCTGACCGTCAAAACGGGGGCGACCCTTGAGGGCTGCGGAGGGTCTTTGGAGTCCGAGACCTCGTGGTCGATCCTTCTCTGACTGTGAGCTTGTCTACGAAACGTTGCTACTTGAGCACCTCTGTAAACCCGCGCTGTCAGCCGACCGTAGACCGCATGACCGGTGCGACCCGTTCGGAGCCTCGGAGTACCGACGCCAAGATGGAGTAAAACAACTGACGGTTTGCAACTCCGAAACGATGCTGGGGACAATGCGTCCGTGCTTCAAAATGTTGTAGCCGAGTTTGCTCTCCGAGAGTCTGTCAGCATCGACAGCCAGACACTACCCACTGCTGTAAGTTGAGCCCTTTCACGGACTGATCATGAGACCAAAATCATGATAGCCCTTGCGAGCCAGCGTATGGGATCAAGGACGCCGGTGACGAGAGGAGGAGGCTGTCTCTCCGCAGCCCTCAAGGGTTGCCCCCGCAACTGTTGCGACCCTTCGAGTCGCCGGAGCGCCTCGGAGTACCGACGCCAACTTTGGATGGAGCAAAACAACTGACGGTGTGCAACTCCGTAACGATGCTGGGGACAATGTGAGACCTCGCCGTCGTGATCGGTCGACTGTGGGCAGGGCTTGTCTACGAAACGTTGCTATTTGCCAGAATCGACTCAGCGCCGGGCGTCAGCCGACCGTAGACCGCATGACCGGCGGCGGTGCGACCCTTTCCGAAGTTTCGGAGCCTCAAAGGCCCGACTAGTGCCTCATAACCGACGGAGCACAAGTTTGTTAGACTTGTGATACTGTGCCAAAGTCACGCAGATATCACATCTACCTCAGTTGTAACAAGACAGGTTTTGCTCAAGACCGAGTTTAATGCACACAAAACCAGAATTGAGGAGCACATGAGAGAATAGACTGTATGCTAGGATGTAAAATCCAAGCATCCAGACATGAGAGGACCTTAGCAAGACGGCTAGGAAAGCCCCCTCTTCGTCCCACACGCTACATTGGCCACCTTGACACGTAAGTCGTCTGGACTTTCCGAAGCGTCACCTTGAGACTATCTGGCAGGCGGGGCCCGTGGATCCGACACTCTGTGCCTCACACAGCGGCCGTCCGGCACTTTTCAAGTTTCTAGGTTCCGTACCGACGGACGGCGGGCCTGCCGCTGACTCAGTAAGTCACGAGTCCGACTCGCCGGACTCCAGGAGTCGGCACTGCAGCGGCAGGCCGCGAGTCAGTACGGTCAGATCACTCGGTGGAGTCACTCCGAGACTCCCGTACCGTACGGTCAAGTTCAGTGGGGGACTCGGATCATCGGACACGGCCGGACACTGAGGGGGGCCCGTCCAATGAAATGGAAAAAAAACGATGACAGCCTGGGTTCGCTCTATGCAGTCAGCCTGAGTCGACGGCAGAGGAACCAGAGCTGAGAATCTCAGTACGATCAAGATGCTGTCCAGCTGAGAGCAGACGGCAGGTTGCACCTCAGCGATGCTGTCAAGTGGGTCCTGCAGGCAACGGCAGACCACCAAGGAAGCAGCGAATGAGCTGTCGGCCCAGCTTGCTCAAGAGCGGCTGAAGATGAAGCACAGGAGGAGGACGCAGAAGCGCCTGGAGTCGAGTACCACCGTGGAAGGAGCCAGGGAGGTTGGGGACGCTGAGACGCACAAGGTGGAGCAGCGCGAGGCTGCCTCTCACAGTCGTCGCACGGCTGATGCCAAGACTACGAAGAAGTTTGCCGACGAGCTCGAGTTGGCGTCCCATGTCCTCCTGAGCGCTGTGCGAGAGCGAGACCAGCTGCAGGAGAGCTACCTGTAAGCCCGAGAAATCTGTCGACCTGCCGCCATGACGTCCATGTTTGGTCAGGCTGAACCAACTGGACGGGGAGGCAATGCTTTCAAGGGCAAAGGAGAAGATACAAAGGAATCATCGGCCGTGCAGTTTCTGCAACTTCAAGTTTGTGAGTACTGAGATTGCCGCCTGACTTTTTCACCCTCACTGCTTGCAAGACCTCAGAGCTTCTGTTTGGCGAGGACAAGCGCTGTCCTCGATGTTACCTGCTGTATGGGCCAGATTGCAAGTAATAGCTAATTTTGTCATGTGCAACAACTGAAGACTGTTCTACAGTTGCACGCAATGTCTTTCCATGAGGAGGAGAAAGCTGGTCAAAGAGATAGAGGAAAATGCTAGAAGAATCAAGATGGAAGCAGCTGCCAAGTATCCACAGAGTGAGACGCATGTTGGGGGACTGGAACTGCGTACTTGACGATCGTTCTCTTGTCAGCCGAGAAAGTGATGGTGAGGACGAGGGAAATCCTCGACCACTTCAACTTTAGGATGTCTGAGGAGGTGGAGACGATGGTGAGATGATGTGAAGGAAGGCTGATGGTGTGACTGCGCTGCCCAAGATCATGAGCAAGCAGAAAGAACAAAAGGTCGCTCTCAGTGGCGTGAGGTTCAGAGCAGATGCTGTGGCCGAGCTTCAAGATATAAGTCCGGTACGAGTACAAGGCGGTCGGTAAGGTGAGATGTCATGCAGGAAACATTCCACTGGATCCCATGACCAAGGTTATGAGCGAGGAGGAGGAGGTTTGAAGAGAGGGGGAGGACAAAGCACACGTTGAGCCGATCGAAGGTACGAGCATTCTTCGGGAGGATCAACCTCGACAGGTTCAGCGACAAGGTGCTTCACTCCTTGAGCGATGAATCTCTCCTCAAGGGGTTGCAGATAATTGCCAACGGATGGAACAATCTTGAAAAGGTCCCAACTTGCCGCTCCTCCTCCCCATGCTCTCCGTTCCCTTGCTTCTTCTCTCTTTTTCTACTTCTCAACTTGTCTTCTCCTCCTCAGCTCTCATCTTCTCGCTCATCAGGTCACCAACATGCTCGAGTCAGACTTCACCCAACGTGTGGGCATGCCAGCGCGCCTTGCTCGCCGAGCTCACGCGTCTCCCCCTTTCTTTTCCTCCCTGCGGGAACTGAAGCGATTTCAGCGAGGTGAAGCGAAGGTTCTACGGACATGACGTCTGTTCCAATGTCCAATGTGGACGGGCACAGATGTCATATGAGCGCGTCAGGTGGGATCACAAGGGTGTGGAGGCTGAGGAGGAACAGGGTAGAAAGGAGGAGGTTTATGCAGATCTGACAGTGGGTGTTTGTGTTAGTTCAAAGGCTGGCCACGACTCCGAGTATGTCGCGCGATGCCCAGCATGTGGCTGGTCGGAGGTTCGGCCCTGTCTTCGCTTTCCCTCCAACCTCCTTGGGTCACTCGCTACCACTCCTCCTGCCTCCTCCCTCCAGCAGGAGCTGAGCAGTCTTGCAGGTCCCCAAGTCCAAGAGCATGCTGCAGATTCTCGGAGCTCCTCCCAACGAGATCCAACGGCCAACCACCTGGGTGGACGAGCTATGAGACCTTGAGGACGTGGACGGGACTTGCGCTGGTCCACCTGCTCTCTACCATCATCCTCAGCACCTCCTCCCATCCCTCCACCCATCGCTGATTGTCGAACAAGCGGTTCAGACCTCCCTCGTCCTTCCTCCTCCCCCTTGCGACGTCGGTGGCCCCCGCCATGCAGGTCCGCAGATCTTCCAGCTGTCGCCTCTCCAGCCTGCCATCCCCAGCTGAGCGCGCGAGCCTCTTTGAGAGCTGGACGAAGTCGTCTTCACTCCGCGCGATGCCGAGCAGCGCAAGGTGGCAGGAGGCTGAGAGAGCTGAGAGGAGGCTGCTCGTAACGCGGCCGGCCCACATGAAGGAGGGGAGGGACACCAAGGGCACTCCTCCCCAGAGGTAGTTCGCGCTCGTCGTGTGCCCGCTGATGCCGTGGGTGTCGAGCGCAAGGTCGCATGCTCGGATCCTCTCTAGGTGCTTCCTAACGTCAAGGAAGGGCTGGAAGACGATCCGAGAGCGAAGATGAGGAGGGGCCCGAGACAGGAGGCTGCTCTCCGTGGAGTTTCCCTGAGCAAGGAGCAGCAAGGTTGATCCCTCCACCTCCTCTAGTAGCTTCATCCACGACGTAAACCTGCGACAGGGTCACAGCCGTTCCCGCTCCTCCCCTCCCCTCCTACCGCGTTGGATCCAGCTTGTACAGTGAGTCATGGTTGCAGAATGTCAGCCTGCCCGCTCTGGTCTTCCGCGCCCTCTCCCCTCCCAGCAGCTCCTCCTGCAGGTAGTCCGTGGTCATGTAGGAGGTAGGCAGCACGACGAACTTCTCGCTGTAGAGCTGAGAAACCTCCGGAGGAGCGACCCAGCTGTCTACCAGCACGTAATCGATGAAGCCCGCCCCAGTGGTCCCGGTGAAGCCCATGTACCCAACCTGTAGCGCAGCTGGGCGATAGCTGAAGATCCGCATCCTGTTGCCGGCAGTCCAGCCGTTGAGGTCGACGAGCACGTGCGGACCATGGCCGTTGATGCTCCTGCTCGCCTCCAGATCCGGCAGGGAGCTCAGGTCGCTTCTCAGAGAGCACGAGGAGGGGACTAGGCTGGGATCCATGGGTGGTGCGAGGAGGAAGCAAAGGACCCGCACGCGAGGCGAGTGGCGTTCGATCGCGCCCTTGATGAGCAGCATCATCGAGTGGCGCCTGCCGAGATCGCTGCTGACGTACCCCAGCTGAATCTGAGCTGCGGGCTGCATCCTTGTCTGAAGGGGGTGCTGCTCAGGAGCCATCAATTCCGTGTAGTGACGGGCGAGCAAAAGGAAAGCAGTAGGGTCCATCGCCAGCCCCTCCACTTCCCCCTCCTCCCCCTTGCTCCATCTCGCCTCTGCAAACGCCAGGGCCATAAAAGGATCGACGGGAGGTTCGATGGGAAGCTGATCTAACTTGCCTCTGGCGCGAGAGGTTCAGGATGGCACTTTGACGCAGCATCTCACCTGACTTGATCGCTCATGAGCCGGCGGGCAGCGGAGAGGTCCTCGTCCCAGCCTCCCCATGAGCACAACTTCCTCCGGGTGAAGAGCAGGTTCGCCACAGCCACGTGCTTGTGAGGAAAGCTCAGGTTGCTTGCGACCACCCGGGTGAGTCTGGCGGGACGAGGTCACGTGATCCCTCATCCTCCACGACGTCACCTCGTCTCGCTCTTGGCGTACTCTCCCAGCTCGAAGAGCGCGCTCGCCATGTTCAGGTCTGTCTTCCAGGACGTTTCGGCCTCCTCCTTCACCTTTTTCTCCAGCTCCTCCAGCACGAGGACAGCTTCCCTCGGCCTTGACATGGACAGCAAGCAGGCAGCCACGTTGTTTCTGTGACCCACGTCCTGTGCGCAACACAGCACGTGAGGACCTCCTGCAAGGGCAAGGAGAGCATGAGACCGCGGGGTTCAGACGCACTGCCGTCCTGTCACGCACGTCAACACTCGAGATAGGAAGGAAATTAAGTGCAAGACCAGAAGGAGGAGAGAGCCAAATGATAAACCCCGAGCTTGTGCAAGAACGCCCCCAGCTCCATGAACAGATGCTCGTCTGCACCACAACTCCTGATCGCTTCCGCGAAATCTCCGGTAGAGAGCCGAGCTTGCGTCACAATCTTCCTGAGCAACTGATCCTTGTCTGGACAACCAGCAGACGCTGACGCGATCAAACAGACGAGAGCGATGGAGCACAAGTTGAAAATCGACATGGTTTACTAATGGAGTTGGAATGCCCCGCTCAGTCGCTGTCGTACATGGCTCTACTCAAGACCTACAAGAGGTTTCAAGAGAAGTTCGAGATTCGGGGATAGAGAGCACAGAGGAAGAGCAGAGTGACAGTCAGCAAATGGAATTTCTGTGGTTCCTGTCAGAGAGCAAATCACCGTCAAGGGCTCAGCAGGAAATCACCGTCAAGGGCTCAGCAGGTCAAGCTTCTCCAGGACTTTCTTGACCATGACCGGGGAATCATTGAGGACGGACAGACAGCCTTCCCTTGGATTCAGTGGAACCAGAGCAGGCAAGGAGACATTCCCACGCAATCAGCACTGGCTTCTGAGATCTCTTGTACGTCACCTCGGCGAGCTGACAGGCGTACACCTGGACAAGAGGATCAGCTCTCTTGCACTGGTTGTCTCGGAATCAAGCTTGACATGGTGAAGCCATCTCTCTTCCCAACAAGACCGTTGATGCTCCATCCGGATCCGCTCGCCAAGTCTCTTTCCCTGCCCGACAGAAACTCAGCGATAGCAGCACGTCTTCTGTTGTCACAAACTTACACGCGAACGACTGTCCCCGGCTTTCATGTCTGTGTAACAACCTCGCGCGACTGAAACACCACGATTCACCTCACTATTGACCAAAAGGGGTCAATGCAAATACCTGATCAGCGTAAGCGCTGATATGAAAGTCTGTCTTCATTCCATCTATCACTTCTGATCCCTACGTGTGCTCATGAGTATCTTTCGTTGTTCGACACGTCAGATCAACACATTCTTACCTGCTGCCGACTTGCCAGCGGGATCGAAGACATCCTGGCCCCAGCTCTTTTCTTCCCCACTGCTCACACGAGAGAACATTAGCAGGGACATCCAAGAGAATGAATCGGAGCCTTCTAACGAAAGAATTTTGAGAATGGCCCTTTCTCTCTCACCTCCCTTATTTTCTCTCATGTCTCTCTCCTCCGTCCCCGTTCCTTGCTCTGCTTCTCTTCCTTCTTGACCTCGCCCTCCCTACATCCCCTCTGCTCCTCCCTCCCCCCTCCCCTGCTCCTGCTCCTGCTGCTACTTCTCCTCCTGTTCCTGCTCCTGCTACTTCTCCTCCTCCTCCTCCTCCTCCTCCTCCTCCTACTACTACTACTACTACTACTACTCCGCCTCTGATGGTCTCAACAAATCCTTTTAACCCCCCTCGTCCCCGCATCTTTCCGTGTAACCCTCATCCCCGCTCGTTCCTATTGTCCCCCAAGCCCTCGAGCCCTCGTCCCCAACTTGCACGCGACCACGGACATGGCTGCGGGCTGTGGAGAGCGGCAAGGCAGCAGAGGAGGAGGAGGAGGAGGAGGCGCAAGACACGGAGCAGGATGGCTGAAGACTCTGACCCTTTTCTCATGCCTCACCTTCCACTACTCCTCTGCCTTCAACCTGCTTGGACCAAAGCCGTTCGGACTTCCATCCGGGACGTTTAAGGCGGTGGGGGCCACTGGAAGGCGGGTGACATGCGGAAGCAGAACGGCGAGGATGGTGCAGACGCACGTCAGCACTGGAGGAGAGAAGGCAGGAGTGGAAGTGGGAGGTGTAGATGGTGTCTGGTACCTTGAGCAGATCTTGACCGCCAAGGTCTATGACGTTGCTGTTGAAACTCCTCTACATGACATGCCAAGGCTTTCTGAGCGTCTGGAAGGAGGGAATATGATCATGGCGAAAAGAGAAGACATGCAGCCTGTATTCTCGTTCAAGCTTAGAGGAGCGTACAACATGATCGCGAACCTTGACCAAGCTCAGCTGGATCGAGGAGTCATCACAGCTTCAGCAGGTAATCATGCACAGGGTGTCGCAATGAGCGCGAAGCATCTTGGATGCAGAGCTGTCATCGCCATGCCGACTGTGACTCCCGCCATCAAGGTGAACAGTGTGAAGCGGATGGGTGCGGAGGTAGTTCTTGTTGGAGACAACTTCGACGAGACCAAGGCGTACGCGCTCGAGCGATCAGAGAAGGACAACATGGTGTTCATCCCACCGTTCGATCATCCTCTGGTGATCGCTGGTCAAGGAACAATCGGCCTGGAGATCCTCAGACAGTGCTCGAAGCCGATAGACGCCATCTTCATCCCCGTCGGAGGAGGAGGCCTCATTGCTGGAGTGGCCGCGTATGTGAAGCGACTCCGACCGGACATCAAGATTATTGGAGTAGAGCCGACAGGAGCAGACGCTATGTATCGATCTCTCAAGGAGAAGAAACAAGTTGTGCTTGACAAAGTGGACACCTTCGCGGACGGTGTTGCGGTCAAGACTGTCGGTAGTTTGACTTTCAAGCTTGCCCTCGAGCTCGTTGACGAGATCGTGCTCGTTGATACTGATGAGATTTGCGTTGCGATCAAGGACATCTTTGAGGATACACGTTCAATCACAGAGCCTTCTGGAGCTCTTGCTGTAGCCGGAGCGAAGAAATGGCTGACAGACGGAGCCAAGAAGGGGTCCCGTGTGGTTGCCATCACAAGTGGCGCAAACATGAACTTTGACAAGCTTCGATTGGTCGCCGATCGTGCTGGTTCAGGAGAAAAGGAAGAAGCGATGCTCGCTTCCATCATCCCTGAGAAGAAAGGAGAGTTCAGGAAGTTCATCAACATCTTGTCCAAGTCAGGCCTGAAGAGAGGAGGCAGCCAGTCGCGCTCCATCACCGAATTCAAGTACAGGTACAACGAGAGATTCACTTCCCAGACCGGCAATGCCCAAGTCTTCTATAGTGTAGACACGGCAAACCGCAAGGATACAGAGACTCTGGTGCAAGAGCTCAACGACTCGGGCTTGAAGACTCTCGACCTCTCCAAGAACGAGCTGGCGAAGGAACACATCCGCTTCCTTGCTGGGGGCGGAACTCGCGCTGCTGATGAGCGCCTGTTCAAGATCGAGTTCCCTGAGCGTCCAGGTTCTCTGAGGAGTTTCTTGGACGTGCTGGGAGAAGATTGGAACATTTCTTTGTTCCACTACAGGGCAACCGGACAGGTAGGAAGTTGTTGATCGCTGGCGTGTCTTGCTTACTTGTATACAGTTGGTGGGGAGCGTTCTCCTCGGAGTGTCCCCGATGGGTGAGAAGGATGTGCAGACTTTCAAGGCTGCTATTGCCGAACTTGGCTGGGCCTGTGTTGACACATCGGACAATGTTGCTTGTGCACTGTTGTAAGGGAGAAATGTCCAAGTAAAGTGGGTCGAATGTGGATCAGGGATTTACTAATGCAGAGAAGCGTTGTAAAATAAATGCGGGATGTCTCCCAACCTCCGTGTCAAATATTATGTGACATTGTTACAGGTGGATCGAGATCCTAACAAACACACAAAACACTGTAATGTACATACAGTGCAGCGTGATGGTTTCATGTTACGATAGAAGGGATGTACTACTGCTTCTTCTGTGCCCCATGGGATGCCCCACGGGTTCTTGACGAGATGGGCAAGTCTGCATCAGAAACTACACCTTGCCCTGCAGCTCGAGAGGCATTTGCTGTCCCCTCTGCTTCCTAAAAATCAAAGTAAGATTTGACAGGAGCATCCATAGGTCCTACCTGAGGCAGATTGTCACGCTTGTAAACCCGCTTTCTACGAGAGCTCTCCACGTTGACATGAGAGACATGGTTAACCTACAACAGGGTGTTACAAGAATACCTTTCACACTAGCAACCCTTCATACCGAATCTTCCGACTTCCTCTTGCGCCCTCGCGCACTTTGATTGTTCGCAACCGAAGGTTCAGAATTTCGATTGGGAATGGCATCAAATGTTGATGCAACAGTGGGAGGAATAGGATCGGGAACATTTTGACTGTGACCCTGTCTATTTTCATTCTGTCCGCCCATTCGTTGAGATGCAAAGAACTCCGCGGCGATACCGGACCGATCTGTGTTGCTAGAATTTTGTCGCACAGCTTGCAAAGCGGCACCAATTGAGGCAACCGGCATCCTCAAAGTCATGCGAACTGACCGAGGTCCGGAACCAGACATGATCGATGCGTCAATACCGTCAGTGCTTGACAACCATCTCCCTTGCAACTGAGCAATACGAGGAGCCTCAGGAAAGTTGGATAATCCACCACTCTTGTGCCTCGAAATCTACGAAAAATGGTTATACATCGCAAAATCAAAATGTTTGCAAGGATACCGTCTCGCTGCATAGTTCTCCTTTCAATTTGCTGTAATTGGCCTGATTGTACCTTGGGCAGTTGGATTCTATTTCGCATCTGCAGATCGGACACGTGTTGTGCTCAGCAAGCCAAGGCACCTGCCAAAGAGTGATTTCTATCCTTTTTTCGTCAACCGGAAACATCTTACCAAACAAGCACGATGAAAATGATGGCCACAAGGCATCTTGAGGCTTACGGCCCCTATTTCCATATCATCTTGACAAACAATACATCCCGCATCCAGCGCCTGAGCCAAAATTATGAACACGATATTCAACACCAAATACTCCGTACCTCAACAATGATAGATTCATCAAGCTTGTTGATTGCGAAGTCTGATGCAGGTGGATTCCCACGACTGCGATGAGCTTCGATTGCATGACGTATGAAATCCTGCATAAGAGTTCGTTTCAGTACATGAAATAACGTGAAACAGTGGATGTCTCACCGTAATTAGTGCTTCAGCAGAGAAGTGGTTAAGGGTCCTCTGGATAAACTGAAAAAGGAAGTCACAGAATTGATACAGAAATATGATCCTACCTGGTGCATCCGTTGAGGTTGGGTAGATGTCTGTGAAGAGGCATCGGTGGCTGTTGGGCAAAGTTACAAGAACATTCACAAACTCGAAGCATAAAAGTGCAACAAATCTCACCACCGGTTTGTGCGCTTGACTCAGTGCCTGTTGTAGATCCAAAACGGAAAGTTTGATGCAAGGCAGAAACACCGGAACGTTGAAGCATGGAACTTAAAGTTCTGCAACAAAGAGACATCACAAATATGAAATGACCAAGCCAAAAACGTTTCGAGCACCTTTCTCTGGGATTGGTGTTTGTAGCTTGTGTGCTTGCCTCAGTACGGCTACGATTTCTGGGCCGAGCTCCAGTCTCATTCTGTAAACAAGCAAAGCCATCGTCACATCTCAAGTAAGCTTTCGATGAGTGAGCTGATCGGCTTACATTTGAGGCAGAGCTACTGCGACGCGAGGTAGAAGCGAAATTGTATCCAGGACCAGGTGGTGGAAGCCGAAAAACCATTGGCTGACCCACATTTGCCAAGAAAGGGTTGCTGTTGCGAGTGTCTGTGTTGGCTCTATTCGTAGGGTTCGATCGTTGCAACAGAGTTTCGATCAGCATCGGCACGTCTGAGTTCACATTTCCAGTGCTTCGCGCATTTGTCGATGGACGATCATTCGCTCGAGCATCCTCTGTGTTCGAGCCGATGTCCAAGTCTGCCAAAACAACGAAAACGCCCTGCATAGTAGTAGTTTGTCGCGGTTCAAATGTATTTGTACCAGTAGCTGATGCAGTGTGTGGCCTTGGAACTGGCATGGAACTCCAACAAATTGTCAAACAACCCTATTGCTCACAATCGCTTTCCAGTTCGATATTAGAGACTGGAGGAGGCTTAGAACTTTTTACGAAGTGCTGTACTCTTCAGTAAACTGCAGCACCGTATAAAGAATCAGCAAAGAATTTTCCTAATAGCTCAAAAATAAAAGAATAAGAATATATATGTTCAACAGGCTAGGAGCAAGATCAGCACTTTCGAGATGCCAACAGATCTGAATTGGTATCGTAATTCACTATAGGAGGCTCTTCACTCGACACTGATTCCACCAGTCGATCACTCCTTTGGATGAAACTCCAGAACAGACCAAACCTCACGCAATTCTCCAGGATTTGCAAGTGCCAAACAGAGAAAAATACAACCTTGAAAACCAAACGCCCGCTGTGCTGTCTTCAACCTAGAAAATTACTACTTCATCGGTAATGAATCAACTTCGGCCCGCCCGAGATTATATTCTGAGCACCATCCGTCGAGCAAAAAATTAGGATCTCCTTGTATCTATCAGTTTCTTCTTTCTCCTTCCCTCCTCCTTCACACCAGACGCAGTCTTCTTTGTCCGGAGTGCGCTTCGACCTCCCCGCTCCTCGCCTGCACTGCGCGCGGGCCACCTCGTTTCCAATCAGTTTGTTCCTTCGCGTTGATCCCTACCCCTCCCTGCTCAAATCAAATACCCTCCTGGCTAACCGGTACTCACTCTAAACCAACTCCCATCACCCCTTCATAATACTGTGATATACCCACCCTTTGATCGGAAGGAGGTTTAAAAACAATTTGGGGTACCCACCCATTCAGTTCCACCCACTTCTTGACAAACTGGGTCTTCTTCCCGTGTTGGTCAACAGCCTCATACTACCCTACCTCCTGATTTTATCATCATTTCATATTTCGGAGGGGGTACATATCTGAAAGACCCCCCCCCCTTGTACGATTCTCGACCTGGCCTATATCCATTTACAACTTAGGTTCCTTGGAAATTATCGCGGGGGGTGAACAAAATAGGCATTATGAATGTTTTGAAATTTTATTTCAATATATGAGAGATTTTGACAAATTAATGAAACCATTTAGTGATTTGAATGAATTTGTATCAAGCATACACACCCTTTTGTGTAAATGTTGTCTTTCCTCCCTTGTTCGGGTTCATGGTAGTCGGGAGGGGGTCCTATATATGTTATGTTGTCAGTACTATTTCAGGGGTAATAATATATTGGTACTGATTTAAAATCTAAAATACTTCACTTTTATATTCATAGCTACAAGATGAAGCTTCGCTTGTACCAAGTACAGATCTCTACTGTAGCCAAATCCTTCACTACCCACCCCCTTGATCAAAGATCTAATACCCTACCCCTCTGTTTAAATGTCAGCAATAGCAAAACCACCTCTCCCATATATGGAATGAGTAACCCCACCCTGTTCGTTGGTCTGCTGCGCGTCTACCTCCCCTTTTCCACCCCTCACCCCCTCTCTTTCAGCGATTTGCAGGGTAGTGGAAGCGAAACCTGGTGGCCTGCTTCCAATCAATGGGAAAAGGGTGGGGTGGGGTGAAATTACTACCTTTGTGGGGTAATATTTTCATTGAGGACAACGGGGTACTTCCGACCTTAATTTTCAATGCTCAGTATGACGGGTGGGTACTATAACTGAATGCCACCGGTGCCGTGCCTGCTGGACTGAGGGGACATTGCCAGCCCTGCGTGCCGTTGCCCGGCCCGGGCGCGCCGGGGCCGGGCGGCCGGGCCAGCCCGGCCGGGCAGTGCCAGGTGACCGTCCACGGTGAGGGCCCGGCCGGCGGCACACGGGCGGGCCGACAGGCCGGGCTGAGTTCGGCGACCGGGCCCGCCTTGAGGTGCCAGCCTAGTACCGGGCCCCGGGCGGCCCGGAGCCTCGGTGAGTGACCGTATCGGACTCGCCGGCGGCCCGGCGCGCCGCATGCGGCCACATCCGACCGGGCCCGGATATTCTACTACCCAGTGTGTGACTGCGGCACTGCCCGCGGCGGATCGCGGCGGATCGGACGGTCACTGTAAAAGTTCAACTTGGCAACCCAGTCCGACTCGGACAGGCTAAAAGTTTTTTTTGGCGAGGTGACCGTACGGTCACGCTACGTGCGGCGGCCAGCCGGGCCGCTCAGATCGGACGGTCACTAAGTTCCGGCGGCGCAGACGCCGCCATCTCACTCAGGGAGTCCGCGGCCGACGAGTCAGTGCCGCGGGCCGGCCGCCGCGCCGCGGCGGCCGGCCTGCGCGGGCGCTGGGCACGACGACGGTGGCGTGACAGTGACGGCCCGGCGCGGGCCTGCCGCAGTCACACGCTGCCGCCTACGAGTCATTGAACTTCCGAATGGCGGCGGCACAGTCTGGGCGCCCGGTGACTGGCCCTGCGTAGTCACAGCCTCGGAGTCACGGTGGTCCCCGCCGCACGGCACCGCGGGACGGTCGGCCGCGCCGGGTTCCGAGTTCGGAACTCGGAACACGGTTTGAATTTCCCGGCGCCCGGCGGCCCGTCCGGGCCGCGCCGGGCCGCCGCCGCTGTTCCGAGGCTGGCTCGGTTGAATGTGACTCAGACAGGCCGACGCGTACCAATGTAGGTTTTCATAGGGGGTGGGTAGTCAATCACAGGGGTACAGCAACCCATTTTCTTCCATAAGGTGGGGTGGGGTGGTCGTAAAATACTGCAATAAAGGGGCAAGGTGGGGTCGAGTGATTGAAAGTAGGGTAGGTAGGCTTTGAGGTATGGGGGGTAGGGGTAGTTTGGCGCCAAAAGTTTGAGATGCGCCATTCCTAGTGGAGAAAAGCGAGTCGATGAGAGCGGGAAGGAGAGGAGGGGGACGAGGAAAAGAGACGAGGAAAGAGAAAAGAGAGGAGAAATATACGCTGAAGAAAACATTTTGAGGTAGGCTGAAGGATATACGATGAATGTCATGAACAGCACAGTTCTACCTTGCTTCCCTTGAATGCAAGGAACTGAAATCTAAGACATCTGCTCCGTTGTCTCCTTGAGGATCTGATAAGATCAGGAGGTTTTGCAAAGTTTGGATTTCGTTCATCACAAAACATCCAATATGACATCAAAGTTTTGGCCCTACACTCGATTCAATCAGATCACAGCGGTGTACATGATGTTTGCGATTTCTTCTCCCTTGCGTGTGGACACTCGTGCAGAATTTCCTGATACTCTACTTCGTGCAAGACATCCGATAGCCTCCATCCCACAAGTTCAATTAACATCCCAATCGCAAAATCCAAGTCTGGGCCAGCAGAGGAATCAAGCATTTGAAATCTCGCGACTCAAAAGACCGTCAGATGTTAAGAACATCCTAGGTCGTTGCATGGTGAAAAACGATGGAGGGCAATCAAAGTCAGGACTTGAGTCTACATTAGCGGTTCAGCAAGAATGCAAGACGTACCTAGCTCAGAATGATCAATTTTTCAAACAAAGTACACCAGGTCCTTTTGATCGTCAATGGGCAGAGAGTCCGACACTCATTTCTTCACGGATGGAAGACTCGGAAATGCAAGTCCCTTCCCCAATCCGTTCACAGCCTTTCTCCGTACCGAATAAGGGCCAATCAATGTTCTTAGATACGGTGAATGCCATGCCGGACAAAGAAAGTCTTTTTGCAAATTTCGATACCAGCGGCAAGACGGATGTCCATGAGCCTTCCAAAGAGTATGCCATGGATATCCCTCCTCAACACACAGAAATTCCAGTTTTCCGTTCGGTAATCTCACACCAGCCCTTGGATTTGGCATCTGCTCAAGATTCTATGACTCCAGCTTTTGACGAATACAGGGAACAGTCTTTCAAACTGAAGGAAAACAAGCTGCCTCCTCTGTACATTCCACAAGCTGCAGATCTGGAAGAGGAAGCATGCGAACTCCTCAACGCTGCACGTAATGAGCTACAGCTGCTGACTGAGGATTGGAAAAATTCAATCTCTACCGCAGCAGCAAAAGAGCAAGAGGTAATGAACATCACTATGTCTGCGATGTGTGATGTATTCGTTTTCAGATACGCTCACTGCAAGGAGAGATCGAGCGATTGAAGTCCATCATGAGTAACCTGCAGGAAGAAAAGGAAACCATTTCTGCAGAGATGTCAAGAATATTGGCCAGCAAAAACCACTTGCTAACGGAGCTTGAAGAGGTACACCTCCCTTGTAGTGAGCGAAATCAAATAATGATACCTGTAGTCTGAAAGGCGCATGGAAAAGATGCAACACGAGATGGAGATTCTTTCGAATGCAAATCTTGCCTATGAAAGCCATATTCGTGAAAAAGATGTCAAGGATGCATCTATGTATTCCGAAGAGGTCAAGAACCAATATGAGAGCAAAATCTCGGTTTTGGGCCAAGAATTGCATAATGCAAATGTAAGTCTGATGTTTCTTTCCCTTTTTATGAAACTGAATTCAATATTGCAATCAGGCTGATCGTGAGAGGCTTTGGGATCACATTGTTTACCTTGAAAAATCCGCTTCGGATGCAGAGCAACTCACTGCAAGCCAACGGCAGCAACTTGCTGCCCTTTGTGATGCCCTGGAAGGAGCTGAGTTTGAAAGGCAACAGTTGGAAAGGTCCCTCAACGCCACACAACTGAGTGAGGAAGCTTCGAAGAGTGCTCAACGGAATCTTGAAAATATAATTTTCGAATATGAGAGTCAGATAGAATCCATGAAGCAGGAGATGGCGGCAAGATACATGGAAATCGAAAATTGGAAATCATCCTTTGTTTGTATCAGCCAGAATTTGACAGAGACTACAAATTGTTTGAACGAGTTGAGTCAGGCGAAGTTTAAGCTGGAACGAGAGTATCAGGCTCAAATTCAGATGCTGCAATCGAAACTTGATGACGTGCTGCAAGACAGTGAAACCAAAGCCAAATCCAATACGGATCGTACTCTCAGACTTGAAGCTGAATTGAATGCTACGGCTTCCAGATGTCAGGAGTTATTGAGACGAAATGATGTGTTGACTAAAGAAATTAACACTCAAAAGAATAATTATGAACAGAAACTTATTCAATCTTTGGAAGCTGCAAAAAAGGAAAGGGAAAACCTTATCCAAAAGGCAATTAGTGAAGCAAAGGATAGCTACCAAGTGGAATACGACTCACTCACATCAAAAATGAATCAAGCTGAAATGATGGTACCACTTCTTCTTGATATGAAATGAATGATTTGACATGTTTATAATTTTGCCAGATATCACAAAAAGATGGAATACTCAAAGATATGGAACTCAAAAATCAAGAATTCAAGAAGCAAATTGATTCTCTCAAAGAGAAAGCAAGTCAATTAGAGGCCCGTAACAAAAATCTAGACTCGAAGGTTCATACCATGGAATCACATTGCGAACAACATACGGCGGAGTTGAAACACACACAACAAACTTTGCAAGCAAAAGTAGGATCTTGTTTTTCTCCCAATGTACATTCTTGTAGAGTCTGATCGATGGTTGCAGGAAAAAAGGATGAATAAGACGGCAATAGATCTCGAGGCAGCGTGTGAAAAATTGCAAGAAACTGAAATCCGACTGAAGCAGACCATGATGGAGAACAATCGCTTGCAAATTCAAATTCAAGAGGCCCACAACAATCTAACTGAGTTTCAATCAGCCAAGGACGAAGAAATCAGCAAAATTCAATTCAGAGCCTCAGAAATTCAAACTCTTTGTGAATCACTCAAAGCTGAATGCGGAAGGCTTGAAAAGGACAACGATGCATACAACAAAAAACTTCAAGTATTCGAAAATGAAAACGAAAACCTTAAACAAAAAATTAAGGATCTGAGATATCAAACAGAAAACAGCAATCTGGAAAAGGGAAGTGTACAATCTGAATTGAGGGACAAATGCTCTCGAATCGAAGAGCTTGAAAACTTGGTGTTACGGATCGAGAACAGAGAGAAAGATTTGCGCTCAGAAAATGAGCTAATGGTAAGTTACCTATTCTTGCACATTGCGTACCGCAGTTGTAATTTTGTTGAAATAGATTCAGAGGAGCCGTGAGAGGGAGTCCGAAATGATATCTCTCCAGCAACAAAACGAAAATTTGATGATGAAGTTGTCTCAAGAAAATGAAATTCTGAGAGCGCAGTTGAATGATACCGCTATGACATGCGAAGAGCAGAGGGCTAGAATGAACGATTTTATTGCGAGAGCTGAAGCATCGGAAAGGAGGTGCAGAGAGGCCGAAAAGATTGCAAGGGAAGCAACAAGAACTGCAAGCAAAGACCTCAACTTGGTACAGGTAATTTGATAGATGCGTTTCTTTGCTTGTGCGTGTTTGATATTGAACAAAGGCGCAAGCTTCCCATTTGAGACAGCAAGTTGATGCGCTCACGAAGGAAAAGGAAAGTGCGCTTTATTCCCTCCAAAGGAAGGAGCAGGAAATGGAGAAATTACGTCTCGAGTTGATGAACAGAAAGAATGGCATACACCCAACCGATAGAAATGACGTGATGGAAGATGAGCCAGTGGCAGAGAATGACAAGATTGGAAACATCGATGCATTTTCCAAGGAAGAATCACAAGCAATCGGGAATGCAGAGATCATGCAGTCCGTGATTGCACAGCGCACTCGGGGTAGGATCAACAATATCATGGAAACAGGGACCAAACCCTCGGCTGTTGATCCAAGAATGTCCGCACCGTTGTCAACAGGGAGTGCCAGAACAAGATCGAGGACGTCCTATGCTCAATCTCAGGATGGCCAAGGTGAGATAGTGCTACATGTTCCTCTATTGTGAAATTTATGCTTAACAGAACAATCTATCTTACAATCAGTCATCGCCGCAAGGACACGAGGGCGAACGGCGGAGAAAGATTCCATCTTTGTCTTGAGACACATCCCTGTGAATGGCGGGAAATCTCCTGTCGACATTCCGGAGACGGTCCAGTTGACTCATACTGGGTAGACTCATGCGAGCTGGACTGCTCTCTGCTAATTCACTGCGTAGGTTCGTGATTGGAAGGGTGGGTGCAGATCTTTGCCTCACGTCAGGTGATATTCCCCATCTGCAGCCTCTCAGAGGTCTGAAAATATCACTTTCAGGATACGTAAGCAGAAAGCATGCGCAATTCCAAAGAACTGCCCTTGGCTGGAGAGTGCTTGACACAAGCACGAATGGGCTCTGTGTGAATGGGGTGAGGCTCAGCCAAGTCTTGGTTTCACGATTGAAAGGTGTTCTAGATCAAAGTGAGGAGTCAGCAGCTCTCTGATGGGGATGTCCTATTGTTCGAAGTGCCGCAGACAGTTGGCTTCGGGCAGGTAGCTGAATTCAGTCTGAGCAACTTCGTTTGTAACTGAATGCCCTGCAGGAGGTTCCAAAGCAGTGGGATGAGAAGAGCCATTTTCGTTTTCGATTCTGCATAGAATCTCCCGGAGCCTAACCCTTTCACGAGCATTATTGCCATACTGAAATGTGTCCATCCTTCGTGACCATTCGTGACTTTGTACAGTGACCGTAAGAGTAACACTGAGACTTGCTTATTTGAATTCAGGTTGAATATATTGTTGTGACCAATTAGACCTTAGTCTCCCGACTTACTGAATGGTTGATCCTGCGAAGGATATTCTCCTTTCCTTGCCTCGGATCTGCCTCTGCAGCATGGTCTGCTGGAGGTTTAGCTCATTAATCTTTTCCTCCTTGTATTTTTCGAGGACTTGCACGTAAGATCTCTCAGCGAAGAACAGCACGAGGATGAGAGAAACCAGGAACCAGGCGAGCAGCGGAGTCTGAACAGCCTGGAGTAGGGGAGAGAAGAACAAGTTTGACTGTATGTCGGCGGCAACAACAGAGGCAGGAGAAGATGAGTAGAAGAGATAGTTGGTAGATGCCGACTCTGCAACGCTATTTGTCTTGAGGGCATCTGAGAGGCAGGTGGAGGCTGTGATGTTGACTGCGAAGCAAGCGCCGCTCGTTCCATTGCCAGAAGCGACAAGCTCTGTAAGCCTACAGCACAGCAGATCCGATGTGCTCGAGGAGAAAATGAACCATACGTAGTAGAACCAGCCAAGGAAGAGAAACAAGGTGAAGGAGTAGAAGAGGGCGAAGTAGACTCCCCCATCCTTGACGTCAAAGGGTCTGACCGGCTTTGCGTTGTAGTTGAAGAGGATGTAAGAGTCAACCTGGAACTGCAGGAACCAAAGAATGAATCCAATGAAAATGGCAAAGGGAAAGTGGGGCAGCGAGAGCCAGAGGAAGATTTGTTGATACAGCACTTTGATGATCTGGGCCGAAGGTCGAAACTCGTCCTTGGCCTGAGGAAGCATCAGCACACGGAGGGTTTGGACAAGAGCGGAGGAGCGAGGAAGAGCAAGGAACAGTGGATTTGAGAGAGACCAGGCTGGGTTTGTTGAGGATCTTGGTGTACAGGAAGTGGAATCCAACTGCGAATCCATATGCAGTAGCCATGTTGATGATAACGTCCGTGTAGAATAGCGCAAAGAAAGTCGAGCCAGCCTGTAAGTCTTGTCGTCACTCCCTGCGATACGAAGGCAACAGCAGCCATCACCTGATCTTCGCATGTCAGGTAAGAACAGCTACGGAGGAGGACGCGCTGGAGGCCAAGGTTGTCTGCTCCATGGAAGAGGATGAAAACGAGCGCGACCTGGACGTCTAAAGGTGAGGGGAGGAGAAGAACTCAACGGGCCTGCCTGGATCAGCGCGTTCAGGATCTTTGCGGCGTAGAGTCGGGAGACTCTCATCTTGAGCACGAAGGCAGGGTCGTCCCACTCCTCGAAGTCAACGCAGAAATCGACCACCTGTGGCATGATGCCGTTGACAGCAGAGGGGATGATGTTGGGCACAAGGGCGAGGAGCTGGCCGGTGAGACCGGAGGAGTTGTTAACTCTCCCTGTGAAGAGGATGAACTTTGAGACAATTATGGTGGACCATCCTCCAGCCAGCGCGATGAAGTTGAAGAAGAGTGAAACGCTCCTCTTGACATACAGCCTCGTCCACTCCTGTTGGCTCCTGTTGCGAATCCTGTCGGCGAGCTCGTCCTCGAACTTGAGAATTCGAAAATTCTGAGAGATAGCATCTTTCATGTCCTGAGCTGCCGAATCGTCTGCAATGGCCCAGTCCCATGCCGTGAAAGCAAGTTTCGCATATCGCTGCGGCTCCTTCCCCCAGTTTTGTACTTCGATGTCAAACATCTTGCCGTATTCCACGGTGACCTTGTAGCTTGCCAAGAGAACGATCGATCCTGCGTGCTCAGATGAGAGGATTTCACTCCGTCACCCTCAATCTCACCAACAGAAGCGAACAGAAAGGATGCATAGATAGTGGACATGCTTGTGTCGACAGTAGAGAAGAAGAAGAATTGCGGGTAGATCGAAATCTGCGAAAGAAATGGTCAGCGGGGTTCTCAGCCAACACCATCTACTGTTTCACCCTCTTCCATTTTCAAATCCCCCCTCCCTTCCCGTCCGCTATCCCCCCCGGCCTCCCCGGCCCCCCCCCGCTCCCACATTCGCGTCTCACCCTCCTCTCCCCTCCCTCCTCCCCCTTCCCCCTTCCCAACACCAACTCCTCACAACTTCCCTCCCTCTTCGAAGGACGAAGGCCTACCATTTTGAAACTGCGGGTGCTCAAGTATCTGATGAAGTGGAATATGAAGACGAAGAGCCAAAGGAGGATCACAGTCCACATGGTCGTTTGCAAGATCCAACGGTAGAACCAGAAGTAGAGAGAGACACCGGACCCGAACCTGCGTAAACTATCCTTCACACGAGCTCATCTACTGCCATCTTCTCCTGCTTCTGCTACCCCCCTTGACATCCTCCTCAACCCCGCCTCCCACACTTCTCCTCCCTCCTTTCCCTATCTTCTCCATCCTCTCCTCACCTGCTCTCTGCTGCACGTGATTGTCTGTACAATATGTCATGCTGTCTTAGAGAAGTCTTGAAAGCTCGCAGTCGAATCCTCAGCAACTTCATGATCCCGAGTGCTGTGGACTGCGTCATATCGTCCTCCTGTTCATACTCGAGTCCGAGCTCCATCGCCCTGCGCCTTGCTTCCTCTCTCTTGATGCGAGCTTCCACCTCCCTGAACTTCTTCTCCTCTGCAGCATTCGATGCCTTCACAAGCCCTCGCTCCTACACTCATATCACATTCGTGCTCTAGAGGATGGCATGTTACCTGTGTCTGCACGTTCCAATCCTCGAGCCGCTCCTCCAGCTCAACTTTGTCTGTCCGAAGCCTCTTCAGCTGCTTCTTCAGCTTCTGGTTGATCTCCTCCTGTCTTTCAATGAGTTCCCCACCGAACCGTAACGGAGACGAGGACCTGTTCAGCAAGCTCCTTTGCCAGCGTGGAGACAGCTGCATCAACGCGGCTAAGGCGCTTCTCCACATCCTGCAGGTCAAGGCGATTCTGATTGCGACGAGCATCTTTCTCTGTCCCGAACCTCGCGCCATCGTCATCGGGGATGTCGTCCTCTACCACCGTCTTGAACTCAACGGGAGGAACGAAGGACTTCTTCTTCTCCTCGCTCGCGTCTTTTTTCCACAGCTCATCATAGTTCCCACCCAGGTCGTCCTCAACTGCTTCCTGAAACTCTTCCAGGGGGATGAAGGAGCCGAACTTGGGCTCAATCAGCTGCAGGTCGGGAGCTGATTCCTCCACAAACTCGGTTTCGGAAGAGCTCACTTGACCGGGGATGATATTCGTGAGCTTCTCTTCTCCAGAATCCTCGAGGAAGGGAGCTCCTCTAAGCCTCAGAGAGCCGCCTTGTCCTCGAGAGGTGGCAGCATGAGGGCCCGACCATACCTCGGGCTCCTCAATCTCCACAAACTCATTCAGATTCACGTTCCTGCCCTCCATCGCTGGAGCGTCGCTAGCTCATATCAGCTCCTCTGGTCCCCCTCATGTTGTCGGTGCATGCCCCTCCCCCTCCCTCCCCCTCCCTCCCCCTCCCTCCCCCTCCTCCCCAGCTCCGGCGCGATCCAGCATCAACCGACGGTCCAGCGCGCGGCAGCATCGCAATGCTACCCAATCTTCAAGGTTTTACTCAAAGTTCAAGGCGGGCAACTGATTGTAACGGTTTAAAACGGTTTAATTCGTAACGGTAGATAACGGTTGAGAAACAATCGATTCCTTCCTCAAGTTCCATCGGCGATGACGCGTGAGTGCGGCATGCGGACGCGGGAGGAGGGGGAAGAGGAGGAGGAGGAGGAGGAGGAGGAGGAGGAGGATGGAGACGTACATGGCAAGATAGGTGGAGGAGGATCATCATTAGGCGATGCGGATGCAAGGAGTGTTAGAGGCGATCAGATGGCGATGGCCTGGTAAAATGGGGTTCGAAAACTTGGGGACTGCGCTGCAGAGGGGAGGGAGGCAGCGCCTCTTGATCACCTGTTCAGCATGTGGCTTCCTGCGTGACTGACGTGTTCCTGTAGGAGGAAATCAGAGAGACATCGACAGGGCGCGCGCACAAGCGAGGTGATGGTTCGTGCGTGGAAGATTGATGGTTTGAAAGGATTTATTCAGGGCCGCCAAGAACGGAGGAGGAGGCAAGAAGGACGATGGCCTGACTCCCCAGCAGCGCAAAGAAAGGTGCTATGAGTATACCCCTTCCCCGGCCCATGTCGTTAATATGATGTACAGGGATGCGGCGGCCCTTGCGGAGAAAATTAAGAAGAAGCAAGAGGCATCGGGCAACTAGCATTGGCTTTGAACAGGACAAGAACTGTACAGTAACCCTCACGAGAGACATAAACATAATGATTTGAAGCCAATGAAGCCAATAAAGAAAACATGATGATGATGATGATGAGGAGGAGGAGGAGGAGGAGGAGGAAAGAAGTGAATTAGTTTTCTGCCTCGTTTGCCCACAGTGATGCCTGAGTCTTGGTCAAGCCGAATGATGAAGTGTTGATTGAGACGATGATACCTGTAGGATCTCATAGGACGAGACAGATGTCCTGCAGACAAACTCAATCTCATCGTCTCATCGTCAAGCTCACAACCCTTCTTGCGATTCGCGGACCCTGTCCATCATGTACGAAGCTGCTTCCCTCTCGGTCTTGTTGCACGACGAATCATGTTCCTCCTCCTCCTCCTCCTCCTCCTCCTCCTCCTTGTCGCACAACCACTTCTTCCAACCCTGCTCCTCCCCACCTACACTACCACCTCCTCCACCACCCTCCAACCCCTCCCCTAAACCCGCTCCCCCTTTCACCTCCACCCCCCCCCCCCTCGCTCTTCCTGCCCGCCCCCACCAGCTTCTCCTGCCATACCTTGCCAGGGAGGAATTTGTCTCGGAGCTGATCGAGACAATCTCGCTTGAGGTGTGGGTGCCTGTGCCTCTCCCATCAAACTCTGACAGCAACCTCAACGCTGCCGCACCTCTGCAAGAAGGTCGAGACCAGGGAAACAAAGAAGTCCTGTTGCTCTCTAACAACCAGGAAGCCTTTCACGATCAGACTGAGAGTACCGTCAAGACGGGGAGGTAACAGCAAAAAGCAGCTACTTGCACAAGTACTTGAAGGGCTCTACGTTGCCCTTGCCATGACCTCCGAGGAAGCTGATGACTTCGCTCGGTAACCTCCGCCCCTGTCAATGCAACTCGCCGCCGTCCCTCGTGTCCTTACCTCAAGGCAGTTCGGTCGGAAGAGGCTGGTGCGGGGTCGAGGGGGAAGAAGATATCGCGCAGGCAGTGCACCCCTGTAGCAGAAGAAACTCAAAACAGAACCAGTCAAGCAAGGGAGGGTGACCGTTATCATCGAAGACGAGGCGGTTGGATTGATCTTTGACCTGCTCAGAGTGCTGAGTGTGTGGGGGGCAGCGTCAGGAGTCGCACGTGCAGGAAGTAGGAGAGAAGGAAGGATCCAGCGTACGATTGGATGAAAGACGCCCTTGCTGCCTGGTAGGTCTGGGGGAGAAAAAGTGAGGCACAAGTGAAGCGAGCCAGAGGCGCACTGGAGAATGTGAAGGACCAAAGGCGGCTTCGAATCTGTGAGAGATGGCTCCGTCGTGGTTCTTCCATGGCATCAGTCAAGAGCAGAGTGTGCAGACAGGAAGCGATGAGAACAAACCTTGATGGTACGCTCTGAGAAGTTGAGTTGAAGCTCGATGACAGCCCTAAAGAAAGAGTCAGAGGAAGGCAAGCACTCGTCATCGACCGGAACACCTGTCTTCAGCGAATGGAAGGCAGTTTCTGGCAGCGAGGATGATCTGTTTGCAGTGAGGGCGAGGAAGAGCCAAGACGAGGCTGATACCTCCACCTGCCCTCTTGCAAGCAGCAGCTTCATCGCATTGATGAACTGTCAAAAACACGAGAAGATGAGAGGGTGGAGTTGGCGCAGGTGAGATGATGAGGGATAAGTAGATACCTGAGATGTGAGGATCTGTTGTCTGGTGTTTGTGTTCATCTCTATCAGACACCACCTGAACTGCCTTGTTAGGACGATATCTAAGTGCCACAACTCTCCACCTTAGCTGCTGCTCGCCGCCTCCTTGGGACGAAGTCGAAGTGAGAAAACCAGCAACGACGGTCGACTGGTCGACCGCGAGGTCTTCTTGGACATCGCGGATCATGCTGTCTGAGACGATCCCACAGATGGTGACTGACTCGGAACAGGTCGTCATGGTGAAGCTGAAGCAGGTGTGAGGAGAACCGAAGGTTGACTGACTGACTGACTGCCTGCCTGCCTGCCTGCCTGCCTGCCTGCCTGCTAATGTCACTTACTTGCTTCCTTGATCAGCGACGATTGCTTGTACTCCGTTTATGAAATACTGAACCGAAAAGTCATCTGTCTGATGAGCAGTCCACCGCACATGTGCATATTCCAACATTTACCATCACCATAACCACCATTATATCATCATCAACATCAGCAGCAGCAGCACCACCACCACCACCACCACCACCACCAACAACAACAACAACAACCACAACCACAACAACAACAACCACAACCACAACAACAACAACCACAACCACACACACACACACACACACACACACACACACACACACACACACACACACACACACACACACACACACACACACACACACACACACACACACACACACACACACACACACACACACACACACACACACACACAACAACAACAACAACAACAACAACAACAACAACAACAACAACAACAACAACAACAACAACAACAACAACAACAACAACAACAACAACAACAACAACAACGTTGCAGTTTGCTTTTTGGAATCCAATCTCTTACCTTGCATCTGCTCGCATGATCAACAACATTGAGGGCATGGCAAGTGCGGAAGATCTCAAACAAACAACTCTCCTCCTCAATGACATCTGAAAAGTCTGAAGCAAGGGAAAGGATTCAACGACTAGAAACGAGGCAGGTGCTACATGAGTCTGACCGAAGAACTTCTCAATGTGGTTCAAGACGTCACGGCCCAAAGACTTGCTCTGAGTGGACTGACGAAAAGCCCGATCGCTGGAATCGTTTCTTCCAACCTTCTTGTAAAGCTCATAGAAGAGTTCGAAGCTGATGCCCATTTCCAGTCGAAGGAGAGGAGAGATTGCCCTTCTGACTGAACGGTGTTTCCTGAGTACAACCTCCTTTCAGCAAACAGTACCGCGCAGTTGACATCATCTCTACATAAATTCCACAAGAACCACCTCAACACAAGACAAACAACACAGCAACAATCACCTGGCACAGCACTGAAGTGCTAACAAGATGCTGTGAGATTTGTCATGGCGGAGCGCAACCTGCATTGCTCCACGTCAGCGAGAATCGTGTGAGGGCGAAGAAACGATCAAGTGTGGCAACAGGAAAGGATGCCAAGGGGAGGAGAGACCTGAAGTAGTTGGGGGAGGCAGAGGAAAAGTTCTTGGCTGTTTGCCTCGTTCCAGCTGCACTCATGAAGTAAACAGTTGGCAACGTATCTCGCGATGTGTGGCTGAAGACTGTCTGTAGATCTTCTTGACGGATCATTCTTGAGGTCTTGAGAGCTCGTGAGGCTATCTCGGATGATTTTCATCACTGCAAGCATGGAGACAGGACGCATGATTGCAAGCGCATGTTTCTGATCGAAAGGAAAATCAATCTTATTCATCATCTTCGACATCAAGAAGGTAGCGCGCCATTCGTCATCTTCGACATCATCATCATCATCATCATCATCATCATCATCATCATCATCATCATCATCATCATCATCATCATCATCATCATCATCATCACCATCATCATCACTTCATCATGATAATAATCAAATTCATCTCCTTGACATGCAATTACACAGCCAGTTTCATGCACTTGTCAACACTGTTGTCAAAGGGGCTATCACCGAGCTCAAAACATTCATCGAGGACAAGACGGCAGCCGCTATACAACAGGACGCTTCTCCCTGAAGAGACGAGGCTGCCATAGGACGTTCTAGAAGGCACTTCTTCAGCTGTAGCCGAAAACGTTAGGCGATGCTGAAGAAGGAAAAATGGAGGGAGGGGGGAAAGAGGGTTAGAAAGAGGAACGAAAGAGAATAGGAAGAGGAACAAGAGGAAGGAAAAGATGATAAACTGAGATGAACAAAATGATACAAAAACACAAGATAGCTGAACCATGTTGTTCGTTCAAAGGAAATGACAGCAGAAGGTGATCAAACAAAACAGGAGATGAAATGCCAGACAAATTACACAGAGAAGGTTGAAGTGTTGATACAGAATTCCCCCTTAGATAAAAATGAAAACCAACCTCGTCGAAGACTTCGGCATTTCGATATCTTTGATAGAAATCAAAAGCAAGCTCAGGTTCAAAATTCCATGCTGTTCGAACGTTCAGAGCCCAACTCTGCCTATAAACCTCCAACATCAGTGATAAAAACAAGAGCAAACGCAGTATAGTAACACCCGGACCTCCCATGATGCGATGAAAAGTAGTAAACACAGAACATCAACGGCACATCTCATATCACCTGATAGAAGATTCCTTGAGAAAAGACTTTTCAAGGGCTGATGAGTCACTACCAACATTCCTCGGATTATGCCAAACACTGATTCGACGAACCTGGCAACCTGTGAGCGAGACAACACGAGGAGGGCATCAAGACAAGCGTGACCATCGATCACTCATACGAGAAGATGTCGAAAGACAACACAAGAGCATCAGACAAGAATATGCAGCAAGACCTGACTGCTGATAAACATGACCAGCAACCTGCAACGAGCCTTGAGGATCATCGCAGGATCGCTCTGATCTTGTTCCGCAGAGAACATGGCTGGAAGTTGGCGGCTGTAGATTGAAGCTTGCTCGGAGTTGGAAAGCGACTGTTTCGAGACTCTTCCTCCCATGATAGATGATCTCATATCTTCCGCATTCCTGCCCTCTGAGAACAACTCGCTATTGCTCTCACTCGGCATCTGCCACAATTCTTCGAGAACAAGTTTGCTGCTCTCATACCCGAAACCTTGAAAAAGGCAGTTATGTCAGTTCCGAGCAGAAACAGCGACGGGAAAATGTCGAACAAGATTGCAAGAACAATGACACGGGAACTGGTGGGATGAGTCATTCAAAGAAGTGAGCCGGACAGGAGAGGCAGATAGACAAAAATTCAAGAAGAAGGATTGTCGATTTCGCATCACGAGTGAAACATGACTGTGTACCAAGACAAGAATCGCACCTGATGAGGCTGCATGGTCATTGTGATGGTCAAGCATCCCGAGCCACTCGCCCTCCTTCTCATCTGAGTTCTCCCAGTCCCTCACGGTGGAGAAGATAGAATCTGCCCCTCCTCGTCCCTTGAACAGCACCTGCTCCCACCTGTCACCCCCGCCGTCCACCCTCGCTTCTGCTCCTTGCCTGAATGCTAACTCCCAGCTGGATCAGAAGGTGAACCTGCGTCATGCCGAAGCCCACCGGCTCTTCTTCCCTGCTCTTCTCTGCCGACCGGATTCGACCCATCCAGCTGGACACAACGATCCATGCTCCTCGACTCCGGAGCACTCCTGGGCCGTTACCAGTGCCATCCCTCTGTACAGAAAAATTCACTTCCTCCCTCTCCATCCCCTGCCTCCCCTCACGGCTCCTCGTGTCTTGCTACTTTGTGCTACTTATTTTCTCACCTTCCCATCCAACCCCCAGCTCGGCCTGAAGGAGAAGAAGTGTAGAGAAGCTGAAAGCGTCCTTCGAGGAATGTCAGACGACCAACGTGCGAAGAGTGGCAGTCACCGATCGAGAAGAATGGATGCAAGGAAGGAAGGCATCTGCTCAGCATGAGATTGAGAAATGTGGGAAGGACGAGCAAGGGGAATGGAGCAAGAGGGAGGAGCAAGACAAAGGGAGCAGGAGAAGCAATTGAATGGAGACCATACCCTCGCCTCGTGAAGAACGATGAAAGCCAACCTCAACAGCTGAAGAATGACAATCAGTAGGGAGGTGGAGGAGAGGGGCTGAAGGGACACCTGAAGCACCAGGGCTGAGTTGAACTCGTTGAGGACGAGGACCCTCGAGCGAGAGAAGGCGAGGAGAAGCAGCTTGCAGATGCTGCGAAACACGATCGACTTTGACTTGTGAGACAACCTTGAGAGAGAATCAGTGACTCGTCCCCTCTCCGTCTTCCCCCGTCATTATATCCGCACCCCGCACATGGTGAGACAGACAAATCCAGTTACCTGCATTGCTCCTGCAGAAACTCCACACACAGAGCTTGAGCGTAGCACTCTGCAAAGACCCTCGAGGAGGTTGACTGGTCCACCTCGGCGTGATGCTCGGGATCGTTCCAGCTGCTCAGCAGACCGCAACCTTCCTCCATGTTGGACGACAGAGCATTGCAAACCTGAGAAGAAGAATCGCAAGTATCAGGGGCAGCAGACTTGGAACTAGTTGGAAGAGGTTCAAGATTGTCTCACTTCTCTGACCAACATCTCTCGCTCTGTCCCCGACAGTAGCGAGTTAATCCAACACCACAGCGACGTCGAAGTTCGCATGCTCTCCCGAGCCCCGACATCCATAGGGTTCTGGAGGGAAACTTGAGGGAGGAGAAAGGAGGAGGAGGGGGGCAACGATCGAACAGAAACGAGGAAGCGATTATAAGGGTCTCACCATAAAAGGAGACCTAACAAGATTCGAAATTGCAGACCACACCAGAGGGGATGAAGTAGAGGAGAGATGGGTGGTGCTGTTGGATAGTCCACTTGGGGAGAGGTGAGAATGTAAGAGCAGAATTGACGCAGTCAAAGTCCCCATCGCGTCTTGGTATCCCTGTTTGTCAAAGTCTACATCCCCGGAAGTTTGAAACCTCTGCATCCTTGTCAAGCACTCCTTCACCAGAGCCTCAAGAGCCTCCAAGCTGGCATGATCCGATGACGTCAAGGCTTGCTGGGAGGTCAAAGAAAGCTGAAGGTCGAGCAGGAGTTTTGCCATACCCAGGTATCTTGCCTGTAGAAAAACGTCAACGTCGAAGACAAGAAAGAGGACGAGGAAGAGCATGTCAAATGTTAGACCAGCAGAGTTGTATCAACACTGAGAATGCGAGGCCGAGACGTGAATCAAACAACGAATATTGACCCGCACATCAACGACAATCATGACAGCAACCAAACTCGTCAACACAAACAGACGAGGTGAGGTCACCTTGTCTTGCAGCCCTCTTGCAACATCCGCAAAGTCAACTCCACCATGCACAGCCCATCCACCTAGGTAGCGCCATACAAACCCTCCTCTCAAGCCCTGCAGAGACGTAGCATCTGAATTCGGCATCCTGTTTAGAGCCCTCCCTCCTCCTGCTCCTGCCACTCCGCCAGCCTTTGCACCATGTGGAAGAGGCATTACTCCAATCATCGCTTCTTGGATGATGTTAACGGTGTAACTCTGGACTCCTTCACTCCCAGCAGGGCTTGAGCATTGAAGGAGATAGATTTGAATGATGGCGCTTGAGGCCAGGGGAGCCTGCAGGAGCATTTGCTCCATCCAGTAGCGGACTAGATTCTCGATGACCCGAAGAGCAGCATGCCGCTGCGAGAAGTCTCCTCCATCGCCCAGCTTGCTCTCAGCTGTCATTCTTGAACTGAAAAGGTCCAGCGGTATCTTTGCGAAGTTGACAGACTCCTCGTAAGAGTCCATCAGCACCCGAAAACAGCGCAAACTCCAGTGGAGTATCGGAAAGACCCGAAGGACAACCTTGATGGACTTCTCCGAAAAGCTGAGAAGAGGGTGTCAAAGTGAGCAACACGCATCATCCTCAGACCTGCGCTTGCTTGGAACACAGCTGGAGGAGTGCAGGATGAGGGCACAGGTGAGCTGGGTGAGGAATTCTTCCTGAGGAGGGGAGAATTCCAACGAGTCGAATCGCTCTGTGAGCTTGTCGATGATCTAGAGGCAGGAGGTTGGTGAGGAGAACATGAGAGAACAAGAAGTGTGTACAACAGAGATGAGCAAGGGGAAGAGGAAGAGAAAGAGGAAGAGGAAGAGGAGACAGTCTAGCTAACAGCGTCAAATGTGGGGAGGGGTCTGGATGGAGGTGGTAGGAAATGAGTTCTTCTTACCTTAAGAAATAGACCTTCGAGCAGCCTGCTAAAGTTTGGAGGTTCGGACGAAACAGCTCCAAAATAGCTGAAGAGGAACGAGAAACTTTCCACTGAGCGGTCGACTGAGCTGGACGAGGACGGCGAGAAAGGGAGAGAGGGGGGGCAAGGTGTGAGATGGGCAGTAGAGGGGAAGGAAGCTGAGGAAAGGAAGGAAGTTCCTTCAACCAGAGCAATGGCTCGTAACCTCTCCACATGATAGATTGCCATCAATTGTAAACATTTGGCCTCTGTCATCTTTGAATCCTGCAAACGTCATCAGATGTCAAGGGATGCGCGACCAGTGGCCAGGAAACAAGAGGAGGAATGAAAGGGATGTAAAGAAGATTGGCAAGCATTCCACTACATCACCTTTGCAAGGAACTCTTTGTACCTTGCAGGCAGCTCCTTCTCTGCCAAAAGACTCAGCTCGTTGTAACAAGCATCATGACAAACAAGGAAACGAAAGCATCAGCATCAACAGGGGCGGCAGCAGCTTTTATGGCATATACGACTCAATCAGGTCGTTATTGTGAATATCATCACAATGGATTGTTCCATATCACGATCATGATGCATACATCAGGAGCAAAAGATCACCGAGTTTCTGTCGAAACATCGAACTTTCTTGCATTTGCGTTGATATCCGAAGGTGTTCATCCAGCTCTCTCTGTCACCGTGTCACGAGACCTGAATCTGCAGGATTTCAGCTCGCCTCCAGCTCGGATGTGAGCGGTGTCGAAGAAAAAAGTAGCTGGGGAAGTTGCTGGGCAATGGTTTTCAAGGGCCTGCGAAATCAGGATTAGGCTCAATCAAGGGAAGGGAAACCAAGGAAGGCAGCAGGAAGAGCTTCCAGGAAGCGAAGGGGAAGAGGATAGGAGTAGAGAAAGTGACGCAGACCCTGACCAAAGGGAGAGGCGAAGGGGAGTGGGGGCGCAGGCGGTACAGGGTGATGATGACCTGAGGCAGGTTGGCGGACTAACATCATCCACAAGCCCATGCTGCGTCATGTAGAGAACGAAGGTCCTGCAGAGTTTTGGATAACTTGACTGCAGCGAATCTGCCCGCTGTGGCGATGATGAGGACGAGAAGGACAAGCTGCCTGCCAGAGAAGAGAAGCATGTAGCGAGGGAGGGGAGGAGCGCTCCGAGAATCTGAAGAGCATCGCTCTTCAAATTGGGCTGTTTCCTCCCGGTGAAATTCCCTTGCAGTGAGAGACCTGGGCTGAACTTCAGGTCTCTGCTGCTTCGAGTGAGTGAGTAAGAGCATACCGAGTTTTGCAATCAAGACAAGCAGCTCCTGCTGGAGATGTCTTAGGGCCTCCTGTTTCGCAGCTTGTCAAACTTGGGTCTGAGAGCAAACACCTTCACTCACATCGGTTGTCAACCCAGACGCCAACCGCTCGAAGCACCTGAAGCACAGAATTGTCAGCATCAACCTGCCCTTTGTCCCAGCACATTCCCAGCACAGCACCTTGGAATCTCCCTGCGCATTACGATTGCAGAAGGTTCAAGGATGGAATCGAATGGCCGACTGTAACGTCCCACCATATAATCGATAACCTGAAAGCTTGCGGCTCAGCCAAACCAGCACAAAGAACAAACGGATCGAAAAATTAGGAGGAAATGGGAAGATAGTGAAATGTAGGAAAGGACAGCATACCGAGCTGAGGTACTTGTGAGGAGGTACAAGCGCTATCCCTGTGAGGTGGAGAAGGAGATTCTCGTGCAGAGTTGAAGGCAGACTTTGGAGCCCCTCCATGAAGAGACGATGAATGATATCCATGACCTGAATGTGCATCAGCAGTTTGTGAGGAGTAGGGAGGAGGAGGGAGAGCTGATCGAAGCAGCAGCGCCGGAGCACATGAGGACAGGAGCAGAGGGGGGTGAGAAGGGATCAAATATCCTACCTCAGAGTTGTGGATGCGACTGCTGAGGGCCCCAAGGACGAGGACGCCTCCGCGCTGGGAGCGGGAGCTGGAAGTTTGCGGGGACTTGGCACTTTCATCGGAATCGGTGAAAACGACAGAGGCAATGGAGTGGACGAGCTCGATAATCTCCTGGTGGTAGTTGGAGGAAGCTGAAGGCGAGCCTTTACCTTGATTGATGAGGCTGCAAAGACAAGAGATGCTCTGCTCGATGACGCGGTTGCGGGCTGCCAGGGGTAGGAGCGAGAGGAGGCTCTCGTCCATGCAGAGGTCGACAAACAGATCCCTTGCCACTTGCTCACAAACCTCGGGATGGGAGGAAGCAAAGTTTCTCATGGCTTCAAGGGCACAACTCAACAGAGTCTCGGCACACTTGTCACTCATCAAGTCTCCTGCTCGTATCTTGTTGATGATCTTGCGATTGCTGCCCGTTGTCCTGACAAGACGATCTGTTGCAATCAAACTTTTCGACACGACCGAGTTGTCCAGCCTCGTGCAAGCGTTGAATATTCTGCTCTCGAGCGTCAAATCTTGCTTGAAAAAATGTACAAGACTAAGACCTAAACGAGTTGAGGAGAAGATCCTCGTTGATTTGATGGTCAGTCTCAGGATTCATGAAAGATTGTAACACCAAATGGGAGTGCTCATAGATGACTTTGTAAGACCTTGCAAACTGTATCCTTCCAAGGCTTTCCTGGAAAGATTTCGCAGCTCTGCCAACCTGGTGCCCACTGGAGCTCCTTGAACTGAACTGTATGGAATGCTGCTGATCTTTGGACTTTGGTTGTTCTAGCGTGAAAGGGATCAGAAAAAGTCAACTGAATGAAAACAAATCTTCACACTTTCGACTGTCTGAACATTTTGTTTCTGCATGACAAGACTGTTAGAAAATGTTTCCAAGATTGCAACAATCATAGGCGATGCATCACCCTACCTCGAGAACGAGGATAACAAACCGCATTGTTGCCTTGAGCATATTTTCGTCATGAACTGGAGGAACATTCATTGAAAATGAAGTGCGTGTGTCTTCTTACAAAAAAATCTGTGTTGTTCCTGATTCTAGAATATAAAATCAGACTCACTGATTCGGGTATGTGATGACATGACCTGTCTAATAAAGTCGATTGCACTTACGAAGACGCTTTCCCCCTGTGCAGTAGATGAGTATCATATCCGTCGAAAGAGGAAAAGTTGTGTCAGAATCAATTACCAAGCTCGTAGTCAACATCTTGTTCCACATCGACTCGCTCGAGTTTTCGCAAATGATATCCAGCAACCACACTGCTAAGTTACACGATCTGGCTTTCTCATGCAGAACTTTGTCGTCGAAAAAGTCTTGGAGTTCCTCACAGAATGCTTCGATCACCGGAAGGGAGTATTCATCGCGTTCTTGTTTCGTCCATTCGAACAGATCGCTGAAGAACTTTCGGACAACTTCGGCTGAATTGAATGAGAGTTGTTCACAAGGTCACACTTCAAATATTGATAGGAATCGTACCTTCTTCCCAATTTTCCTGTTCAGGAATATCAGACTTTTCATAACTCAAAGAAATCAAGTCTCACGTGAATGTTGGTCCTGCAGCATTGATGAAAGAGGTCGACAAACTCGCTGACGGAATTCTGCCACACACATTGACCAGTGGTGCTCACTAGCGATATTGAAAACCTCAAGATTCTTTTGCGGACATTCAAGCTGTCATCACTCAGTCAGAAGAATCACAGCCTTGCGTGCTGTTGCAACGCACCATCCATCGAAGCACATTGCTGGCAAATGCACTTGAGCGAAACAGCTCGATAGTATCCGAGACTTGGGACGCATCATCGTCGGCTTGTTCCTCCATGACAGAAGAAGAAGAAGTTGTCTCTTGCTCTTCTTATGCTGATATCATCTTTCTCGTTCATTCCCCCATCCTTGTCTATGCGCACTGCTCTCACGCTCCCTCCATCCCTCGCATCGCTCTTACATACTGGGCAGCATCAACATCTTTGCGATGGCCTACCACCCCTACCCTCTTAGAGCCTAGTCCTGTGCTAAGAACCGGTGTGACTGCAGTCTCACTCGCCGGGCCGGGGCCGGGCCTCACCCCGGGCCCGGCCCGGCGGCGGTCCGACGACTAGGCTGACAGTCAGCGGAGTCCGGCGGAGTGGCAACTTTCTCAGTGCATAGCCTAGTAGCAAGGCGATGCTCAGCGACGTAAGGTACTGCTTCAGGAGCAAAGAGAAAAACGGGTGAAACTTAGAAAGGAGGCAGGAGGTTACAAGGGGCCCGTACTACGGTAGCCTGTATAGCCGTATGCGGCAACCGGGAGATCAGAAGTGACCAAGTTCACTGCCGATCTGCCAGGGGTCGACGAAGTGGGATGGATCGGACTCGGAGCTCGTCGCGCTTCTCAGCCTGTGTGTTGCTGCGCATCAACTTGAGACATTTCGGCGTTGCTACTCCAGTCTGTCCGATCTCGTAACGGTTGTCGGAATGCTCAGTGCGGCCCCGCCGGGACCCGGGCCCGGGGGGAAACTTTCAAACGTTGAAAGGGGAATATTGAACTATTTCTTTACTCAAAGTTAAGTGAACTATTTAGTACTCATGTAAAACAACACACCGTCAACCATTCCTGTAGTGAAACCCTGCTTCAGCATTCACTGTAGTGCGCGTCAGCAACTTCTTCTGTCACCATCCTTTGCATGGCGGTACGCAATGCTAGGCGGAAGGTGTGGTGCTGATTGAAGAAGGATGTCACGTGCCCGCCACACACCCAACGAGTCTCAACTCCATAATCCTCGCTGCTCAAGTATTCATACGTTGGCGGAAAAGCCTTCCAGTAATCCCTCCATGACGATCGAATCACTTCTTCGGACCGTCTGTCAATGTATGCGTCTTCCTTCGCCTGCTTCAAAATCAGCTATGCAAACTTGTGATAGCGCCCCATATACCTGAATCAAAATGGTTGCCCACGGGCACGGAGGTGGAGGCAGCCGAGTTACATCTGTGATTCTCAAAATTCGTCCTAGTCGATGTTTGACATCTTCATCTTCACAATTCCATTCATTCCAATTGATCGAGCTCGAGTGCCGAGACAAAGCATCCCAGTCACAAGATGCCGAGAGAGCGCCCTGGCAGAAAACCGGAGCAGCACACTGAGGAGCCAAGAAAGTGACCAACGCTACTGGAAGGTTGCAGACTCCTGCTGTCATGATGGCGTGCACTCCACCCATACTGAATCCACAGATTCCCAGAGGTCTGCAAACATCATCAGGGGGATGGCAGGAGAATCTCATAACAATACCCATGTCCGTGAGCATTGAAATAACGCAAAATCGATATGGTCTCCTCAATTGTGGCATTTCCCAAGGAGAGGAGATCCGAGACACACTGAGGCCAATCAGAGGCATGCATGCATTCTTTGAAGATCTTACCTGCAACTTCGGTCCTCTCTGTCTCCTTGGCTTGCGATGACCATAATATGGTGATTCAAGAATCACTGAACCGATTCCTGTGTTAGGGAGCGGTCAACCGAGCGTACTGCAGTATGAACTCCCCACTGACCTTGCTTAGCCAGCTTACAGGAGAGCGTCTTTCTCATCCAGAAATACTTGCAAAACAAGTCAGGCTCAAAGCAACGTTCTCTTGGAAATACAGACTTGATCGCCTGTTCCTGCAAGATGTACCCACAGGGGAATTCCAGCAGAAACACTATCAGAGGGATGTCTGCGATTGCAAGTGAGTGACGATGCCATATTCTCAAGAGCTTGTCACCCGAAGCTGGTGGGAACCACTAGCTGGCAGCGTGCAGACATAGACTCAGGAGGTAGAGTTCCATCTTGAACGGGACTCTCGAAATCACCTATTGGCGGATCCAATTACAACAACAATAGCTTGCAACGAAATGAGTACCTGCCCAAACATTCACACCGTCAAAGGACTTCAAAGGAGATTTCTGCCAAGATATATCCATGTATTTCTCGTCTGACATGTACAAACTTCCGCATCTCTTAGACGAGGATCGCTTTTCGTGTTGGGAAGAAAGATAGTTCAGGATTGCAGGATCACCCCATCCCCTGGACCACAATTTCCCATTTCCGCCAAGAGCCTGTACGAGCCTACTGCTATGACATGATGCAAATATTCTGGAAGCATTTTCCTTCGTGAGTGCCTTTGTACAAATGATAGCAGTATCTTACCTATCGACCGCGTTCTTTCCCAGCTTAACGTTGTCCATCTCAATACTCCTATCAGTCCCCAACTGGGCATTGAAGAAATAACCCCTAGTGGCAAGATTTCGCGCAAAAAACTTCATTCTACAAAGATGCACCGCTCCATTTCCAGATTTTGGAAACCACGACATCACTTTTGTTTGAAAAACGGTTCGTTCAGACAGCTGTTCAAATTAAGAAATCAACAAGGACATCCAACGATTATCTCGACATCATAAGCCATTATTTGATGCCGCTATCTCACACAAAACATTTCCTGTTCAGGAACCTTCGCGACCTGCAGTAAAAGATGAGTTTGTCAAAATGAAAGGCGCCATCCAGTGTCATGTCCGAAAAAATGACGCTAATCCCTCCCCTTGACCAGATCGAATGAGATTCAAACCCTACAAGACATCTGATGCGATCTAGACTGTTCACAATGCTGCCTTCTACATCAGGCAAGCCCTAACACCATTGAGCACAACACTTCAATTCTATCTTCTCTGCATCTGCACATCTTGCTTCTTTTCTCACTTATTACAACCTACCAACCAATTGGGACCCCCAGGACCCCTACCCCCCGAATTACTCCATCTTGATTTTTACCGGTACAGAAAGTACCATCACCCCTTAGAACTCCCAGACAAGACCCGGTAAGAAAGCTGATAAATTACTATACCCACCCCCTAAATCCATCTGACACCACCCTCACCCCTAAACAAATGTTGCTGACTGAATTCTAGCAATTCTAATTGAAATGCGATCTGTACGTGAATGCTCCACCCTACCCCCTTCAATTACCAGACTCTAAAAGATGAACAGACCCGTACTCCCATGCCCACTTGTAGACCCTTTGAGCTGACGTGACTCGACGAGGCCGCCGGCTGCCGGCCGGGCCCGGCCCGGCCCGGCCGGGCGGCTTTCAGCAAGGACCCCCACCCCCATCTTGTTCTTCAAATCGTACCCACCCTGGAGGAGATAAGCCAACCCATGTCGTGAAAGAAACAGGGCATGGGGCATGGTAGTTTGATGGCGGAGGGCGAACGCCTGAGACGCGAGCTCGAAGATGGTGGGAAGAGAACTTCCCTGCAGTAAGTGTGGGTTGGAGATGAGCAGCGAGCTTCTGCACGCAACATAGACGTGGAGCAAGGCATTGAAACCTGTCAATATGGAGGATAATGGCGCTCGGGCTTGCCTCTGGACTTGGTAGCCGCTGATGAAGTTGCCTTTCTCTCTCTCATTGCGATGTAGGGGCTGGGGAGAATTCGGAAGACTGGGACATGGAGATACCTTGTCGCAGTTAGAGCCAAAACGTCTCCGCTTTGACAAACGCTTCCCTGTCTCACTATCCTTTACAGCATTGGCGCATGAATCATTGAATGGCGCCATCTACGTTGCATGTGGCGGGCACCACACAGTAGCTGTAACAGAAGACGGAGAGGTGAAATACGTTCCTTGAATGCTATCATCCCCTGCTTGTGCTTGAGCTCAGGGTTGACGGATCTTTCCCTGAAGGTGGTCTCGTGGGGTTGGGGTAACGAAGGGCAGTTGGGGAGTGGAAACGCCTTCGATCAAACGTGACACTCCCATCACATCGCTTCATCAACTGAACACGTTCATCAGAGTGCCGGCCGTGGTGAAAGCCTTGTCAAACCACCGGGTGTGCGGGGTCGCGTGCGGATACTATCACACTGCCGTCGTCACAGGTGCTTCTTGCTGGTGAGGTGGAAGATGCTGATCTCTTCCTGTGCAGATGTCGGTCTGGTGATGTGCTGGGGGAAGGGAAACTCCGGTCAACTGGGACAGGTGCAGACATCAATCCCAAAGCACCAGGACCTGCAAAGCAGTGTGCTGAGTTGAACCCCAGGGGGACTGGACCAGCTCCTTGCTACCAAGAACGGTATCAACCCTCTACAACGAGAAGATTAGACAGGTCTGTTGGAGAAGGGAAGGAGATCTTTCATCCTGATGCTCTCTTCCTTCAGATCGCATGTGGCATGGCGCACACGCTTGCGCTGTCTGTGAACGGGGAGATATACAGCTGGGGAGCTGGAGCTGATGGGCAGCTGGGTATTTCATTGTTCACGTGGCCTGCCAGTTTTGGGTTGAGAAGTCTCCCAAGGTGTAGGCAAACATCAGGAGGAGACGGCGGATGTGGCCACTCCGCAGAAGGTGCGTAGGATCAGAGGCATCCTTCTCGGATGATGCTGGGGTCACAGATGAAAGGGTATGACGGGTTTGAGCAGGTCAGGGTTGACGAGGAGGAGAAGTTTGAGTTCATAGCCTGTGGGAGTAGACACTGCATGTTAGAGCTGAAGTTCCAGTGGAAGGAGATGATACCACATTCCAGGGCTATCACGGACGACTGCCGACTGTTTTCATGGGGTCTCGGAGCAGATGGGTGAGATTTCTTCTTGTCTCCTTCCTCTCTGTCCCCTCTACTCCAACAGGATAATCTCCTCGTAATTTCGTTCTGTCGTGATGGTGCTGAGTTTGATTTCAGGCGTTTGGGTCTCGGGGATTCTGAGAGCCGATTCAGCCCCACTGTTGGTAGGTTGGGGAAGGAAAAGGATGTGGAAGAGAAAGGAACGGAGTTTGAGAGGAGGCAAGGTTCCAGGAAGGAGGAGGTGGGGGATGTTCCAGAAGCAGGAGAGGAGCCACAGCAAGCTGACGCTCTCTCGTCGCAGTCCGGCGGAGTATAGAGAACCTTCGGATCTGTTACGTGGCGGCAGGGGGCCATCACACGGCGGTGACTTGCTGATCAGCAGCCGCCAGCCAGTTCCAGTCTGATGGTGCCGTCCCATAGGTTCTCTCTGACAATGGCGAGATCTTCACCTGTGGTAGAGGGAGGTAAGGGGACGCGTTGCTCCTGCGCTCTATCCCCACTGACCTTGCGGCCTCCTCCTCCTCCAGCTATGGACAGCTCGGGCATGGAGACGCTGATCCGCAGCTGACTCTGAAGAAGGCAAGAGCGTTGCGCCATGGTTGCCTCCTGCTCCATGTGCGTGACACAGAAGTTCAGATTGTCCAGCTGAGAGACAAGAAGATCATCAAAGCTGCTTGTGGCGACACGCACACGTTGGTCATATCGACTGCTGGTATAGAGCGAGAACCTCCTCCTGTAGTCTCCATGCGATTCCTCCTCCTCCTCCTCCTCCTCCTCCTCCCCCTCCTCCTCCACTGCCACCTCCACTACCTCCTCCTCCTCCTCCTCCTCCTCCTCCTCCTCCTGATCATCGTCATCATCGTCATCATCGTCATCATCGTCATCGTCATCATCCTGTAGATCTCCTGCGTCTGCTCTTCGTTTTTTCATCTCCTCTCTTCCAGTTTTCTGATCCTCACTCTGCCTCTTCACTTTTGCAGGCGAAGTTTTCGCATGGGGAGCAGCAGAAGACGGGCAGGTGCCATGAATTTCAATCTGATTCTTCAGCCCAAGTTTACCTTTCTTTCTGTTCGGCCACAGCTGGGGACGGGAGGGACAGAGGGAGCAAACTCTCCCGTCGAGCTCACAAGCCTTCGGGTGAACTTGATGTCGATCTCATCTCAGCACCCTACTCCCTCCTCCTCCTCCTCCTCCTCCTCCTTTCTTCGCTCCTTCCTTTCCTCTCCTCCTTTCCATTCCCCCTCCCCCTCGCCTCATCTCCTCTTCCTGCCCTCCCTGTGCGAGCACTTCTTGTAACTCCGTGTGGCCTAGTTGTTGTTCTCGTCCTCTCCTGACTTGTTGCTGGGCTCCCGCAGGGACTTGTCGGGGACGTGTCCTGTGGGCTCGTTCACTCTGCTGCTGTGCCGATGCAAATCTTTGCCGTCAGTTCCAAGGTGTGTAGTGCAAGGAGCAGAGAAGGGGGATGGGGAAGGGGATGGGGAGGAGGTTGGCTGGGGGGAGTGAGACAAGGAGGAGAGGGGAGGAAGATCAGGGCTGAGAGACGCGAAGATCGCAGAGCTGGAAGATGTGATTCAACGTCTCTCCACCAGCCTTCGAACGGCTGAAATGCAGGTGAGATCTCCTCGGGCTCAAAGTTCAATCCTCTTCCTCCTCGTCCTCCTCCTTGTCTTGTCCTTCTTCCGCATATTCGTTTTCCTCGCTCTCGCCCCTCCCCTACACTTTCTCATCCTCGTCTTCCTTGCATGTATTCTGCATCCTCTTCCTCCTTAGCCTCGTCTGTCTTCCTGCACATCCGTGAGTAATGAGCTGTTCAGGTGCAAGCAGAGAGAAGGTCTCGGCTGGTTGCGGAGCACAAGTGAGCGAATCTGAGAATCGACGTGATTTGTTTGCTGATCCTCGTCCTCCTCGTCCTTCTCCTTCTCCTTCACATTCTCCTTCGCCTTCTCCTTCCACTTCTACTTCTCCTTCTCCTTCTGCTCCCGTTTCTGCTCCTGCTCTTCCACCCCACTTCTTGTCGGCAGGTTGCAAGAGGCCATGCACCTCTTGTCAAAGAGGGGAGCTGTGCATAAGGTGGTACATGGGAGCGAAGCAACAGGAAATGGAGAGGAGGAGCATCGCAATCATGCTGTGAGGCACGAGGCCCCTCCTATGGTGGATGTGAGTTGATCGAGGAGGAGGAGGAGGAGGAGGAGGAGGAGGAGGAGGAGGAGGAAGTGTGTGAGTGTGTGAGTTGTAAGGAGGGGCGTTGGAGACAACGAGTATTTTGCTGTTTGCTGATGTCATCAGTAATTCCCTGCTGGTAGGCGTGCGTACAGACTGAGGGTTACTTGCTCTATCCCCGCAAGAGTTACGCCAAGAGCTCGGTAGCAACAGCAGAACCTGTGGCCCCTCCAGCAGGCAACCAGGATGACAGGGCCTCCTCGCGCCAGGGGGAAGGAGAGAGGAAGAAGGAGAGAGAGAGCGAGAAGGAAGGAGAGAGGAAGAAGACGGGTGAAGGTCCTACAGAGACTGAGAGCTTCAAAAGGGACGGGCTGCTCCGACGAGCTCAGCAGATCCAGCAGGTGAGGAGGAGGAAGCAGGGGGGATCCCCCCTGATTGGACGAGGAGGAGGAGGGAGACAACAGGAGGAGGAGGAGGAGGAGGAGGAGGAGGAGGAGGAGGAGGAGGAGGAGGAGGATGGAAACCTAACTCATGAGAAGGAGACGATGGGGAAGAATTCAACGCACAACGCTAGCGAGATGCGAGAGCTTCAACTATCCTTCCTCGAGGACGTTCGATGTACATCCCTTCCTTCGAGCCCCATGCCCTCCTCCTCTCGCCCTCCTCCTTACCTCTTGCTCGCTGACGGGGTCGCAGGCGGAGGAAGCATCACGACTTCGTCCATGGGGAGCGAATCAGACTCCATCCTCGAGCTGGTTGTCCTCTTCCTTCCTCTCCCTGCTCTCCTCTCCTCCGCAGCCTCTTTCATCTCCCCGTGAATCTTCCGTTCTTGCAGTTCACTCCATCCCTCTCTCCTCCCCTCCTCTCCCTCCCTTCCTCCCCTCCACCGTCCTCCTCTACCTCTACCTCTCCCTCTCTCCCCTCGCCTCCCCCCTCCTCGTCCTCGGCGTTGCTGACAGTGGCATGCAGGAGCTCGAGTGTGACGAGAGCTTGAAGGACACCTACCAGCTGCAGCACGACGTCCTGCCGGAGTATTACCTTCCCCAGTCAGGTGGAGGGCCAGGTGGAGACCGACTTTGTGCCTCCCCACGTTCGCAGCCTGACGAGGGGAAGCAGCAGGGGTGTTAGCTGGGAAAGGAGAAAGGCACGTGCTTGAGGATGGGTGGGCTCCTGCTCCTGCTGTCGCTCCTCTGACGAGGCTGAGCAGGAAGACGAAGCATGTAGGGAAGCAAGATTTGATGGAGGCGAACAGCCATGCGCAAGCTGCTGGTAAGATTTCTCCTCGTCCTCCTCGTCATCGTCTCCTCGTCCTCGTCCTCGTCCTCCTCTTATTCCTCCTCCGCTCTCAGATGCTTCTCCTCTGATCGCCTCAACAGGAACCAGCCGACTTAACAGCAAGACGAGGCAGATGTTCAAGATCTCCAGCAAAGTCAAGCGCGGGGTACGAGTCGAAGAGGAAACGAAGGCGGAGGGAGGGAGAGGCATGGGACTGGGGAAGGGGAAGGAGAGAGGGAGGAGGAGGAAAGGCAAGGAAGGAGGATGGGAAACGGAAGCGAGAGGAGATACGGCAAGATGACTTGCTGGCAGGTGACAGGGTTTCTGAAGGAGCTGAAGGAGGAGCTCATTTCTGATCGCCCGCATGACGGATAAGAACATTATTCAGTAAGATTAAACAAGTCTATCCTCCTCCTCCTCCTCCTCCTCCTCCTCCTCCTCCTCCTCCTTCTCCTCCTCCTCGTCCACATGCTCCTGCCATTCTGTCCCACCTATTCTTTCAAGCTTCTCTTCTTCGCCTTTCCTCCACTTGCGAGGCTAGCCCAGCCGCAGCTCCCTCAAGGCCCGAGCAGACAGCTCCTCTCTCCTGACCTCCTCCCTGTACGTCTTGCTCGGGTTTTCTCGCAGCAGCCACGTCCTTAGCGTGTGTGGCTCTCCCCTGGCATCCGCGACTTGCATGCTGACTGCCGTCACCACTTCCCACCCCCGGCAGACCCGCCCGTTGATGCAGCCATAAGGCCCGGTCCCCTTCCTCCACTCCTCCTCCATCTCTCCTCCCAGCCCCAGCCGCTGCCGGAGAGCCTCGGGGACGCGACGAAGATCGCGCATGGCGGAGATTCTCAGGTCCTCGAACTCTCGGATGGCGGCAGGAAGTGACTCTGCAAGCTGCCACCTCCTCTCCTTGCGCAGCCAAGCAGAGCAGGCACCTGCATGCTCGTCAGAGGGTGGAGGAGGAGGACGGAGAGGAGGAGGAGCAGGAGACCTGAGTGCACGTCAGTGCGATTGGCGAAGATTGAGTCCCAGCAGAGCAGCGGGTTCTTCCAGTAGATCTCTCCCTCCCTGTGGACGAGGCTGTCACAGACGTGCCTCACATAGACAAGCAAGGGGGTGAAAGGAAAGGAGGAGACGTGGAAGGGAAGGAGGAGGGAGGAGATATGTAGATGGAGCTTTTTGAAGGCTTGGAGGTTTGGAGAAGTGGTAGCAGCAGCAGAAGAGAGAGCAAAAAGAGCTGACGGAAGGGGGTAGCAGGAGCCATTTAGGAGAAGGAGCAGAAGATGGAAAAGAAGCAGGTGGAGGAGGGGAGAAAGAGAGGAGGAAGAGGAGGAAGAGGAGGAAGAGGATGGGTGGAGGAAGAGGTTGGCACCTGGCGATGCACTCATTCCACTGCTCCGTGGTGACACATGCTGATGATCTGCTCGTCACGTCAGTCGTCCGACCGATAGCAGCAGCATGAGACCGTGCGAAGAACCGAGAGTCTGTGTAGACGATGGCGGCAGAGCCCGGGGGGCAGCGGCCTGACCAACCGTCCCCCTCCGCCTGAGGGACGTCGGAGCACACGGGGATAGGAACTTCAGCGAGGAGGACGGGGAGTGAATGGGACAGGTTGTAGCATCCTTGGCTCATCAGGGGCGGGGCAGACTCGTCGAAGGTTGCATTGCAGGTGAGGGATACCATGTCGCTGCCGCCCGAGTGACGCGCGAGTTTGCTGCTCTCGATGGCGCTCCCTTCCTCCTTCCCGCCCGCGCTGCGGGTCCTTCGCCTGCAGCCCTCCGCCTCCTCTCTGCACGTGCCCAGTGAGCTCTTGAGCTCTGCTAGCTCCAGCTGAAGCCTCCGCCCGTCGTCCTTGCACTTCTCAGCCAGCTGGTCTGCGTGCTTCTTCTTCCCTTCAAGTTCTGTCATCTCCCTCCTGGACGCGTCCTGTGACTCTCTGTACGCCTGGCTGCTGTTGTGAGCAACCTCCTCGAGCATCTCCTTGTCTCGCTCGCAAGCTGCAAGTTTCTGTTGCTCGACGAGGATTACATCGCGTCCTTCCCCTTGCAGCCTCACCAGCTCCTTCTGGCAGCTTGCGGCCTCCTGCACTGCCTCCTCCTGCTTCTTCTCCAGCTCCACCAGCTTGCTGACTTCTCTGCTCTCTCTCTCCTGTGACGAGATCAACTCGTCTCGGCAGCTCACCAACTCCTCCTCTGCTTTCCTCTTCACCCTCCCCAGCTCTTCCATCTCGATCTTCCATGCCCCTCGCAAGTCTTGGCAGGTCTTGTTGGCGTTCCGTGCTGCCTCCTCCAGCACGTCCTTGTCCTTCATGCAGCCCGCTAGCCTCTCTTGCTCGGCCAGGTAGCGGCCGTTCAGTGCCGTCTGTGAGGACTTGACTGCCGTCAGCTCTGCATTCCTTGACGCCAACTCGGCCTCGAGCTCTTGGAGCTTCTCAACCGCTACTGACGGAACGATCGTCAGGTTGTTCCTCCCTTTGGCATGCGTAGCGCACGTAGCAACATCGTTATGACAGCAGGTCGAAGCCATGCAAGTATCAACAGGTCCAATCGGTGAGAATGCAGAGCCAGACACGAAATGCTGGGATACGTTGGCGTCCTCCAACATGGGCACCGGTGAGAGGAGGACGAGGGAAACCAAGACCGTTGCAATTCCAGATAGGATCAGCATCATGAACTTCCATGGGGAGAACCGAGTAGCTAGCTCTCTTTTCTTTTCCTGCAGATCTCGTTTCGTCTCCTGCAAATGTCTTCAGCCCACCTGTTGGCAACGACAGGATGCATAGTACCTCATACTGCTCTTCCTTCCTCCTCAGCCGCTCCAGCGCCTCCTGCATCCCGTTTTCCTTCGATCGCAACTGTGCCTGTACCTCTCTGACGTCTTCATCCTTCCTCTTCAACTGCTCCTCTACCTCCCCGATCTCTACATCCTTCCTCCTCAGCCGCTCCTCTACCTCCTGTATCCTGGCTTCCTTCGATCGTAGCTGTGCCCGTACCTCCTCCACCACTTCGTCCTTCGATCGTAGCTGTGCCCGTACCTCCTCCACCACTTCGTCCTTCGATCGTAGCTGTGCCCGTACCTCTGTAAGCTCTTCATCCCTCCTCCTCAGCCGCTCCTCTACATCTTGCATCCCGTCCTCCTTCGATCGTAGCTGTGCCCGTACCTCCTCCACCTCTTGATCCTTCTCCAGCAGCAGCTTCTGCAGATCTAGAATCTTTATTCTCGATGCTTCGTCTTCATACGGCTCCGTCTGAAGGTTTTTATCCGCAGATTGTTTCAGCGATCCCACAGACAAGTCAAAGACAGCAGACTGGAGTGACGACGTCAAATCTTCAATTTCACTGCAAGTGCCGTGCAGCTTCCCGAGCATGGCACCGATTTCACTGTCCCCCGGGTACGCATCGGGCTCAGTTTGAACAGGGGAGCGAGGGGTACAAGGCTCCGAGTTGGTCGACTCAGAGTCATTGTCGCCGTCAGCCACAACGTCTCCTATCAGAAATCCGCTGGCCTTCAGGCGGTTCTTGAGGTCTGCGGCCTTCAAATTCAGCTCCTGGTGTCTCTTCTTTCGCACCTCGTAGAATTGGGTGATAGAGCTGCCAAGCCGCGATGGCTTCTTCTTAGCAGCAGATACCGCCAGTGCACTGTCGCTGCACTTGTTGCTCTGGCGGGTGGTGAGGGGCGTCCGGACGGGAGAGCTTCCATGGCCCTGCCTTCCATACTCTTCGCTCCTGCTCCTCTCAACCGAAGAGGTGTAGGAGTCCGAGGACATACCTCGGTAGTAGTGTATGGTACGAATCATCGGCCTTTGAGGGTTGAGATCGATCTCCGATGAGGAGGGGTCTATCAAACTTTGATCCTCACTGCTGTGCCTCGCAAATCTGAGGGTCACGATCGATCCTGGCACACCCATGAGCAGGGGAACTACGGAGTCCTGCGGGTAAATCGACATGAGATCAGGTCGCTCACAGTGAAGGAACTTACGAAATCTTTTCCTTTGACTTGGATGTCATTGACGGATATCAGATGATAGCCGGAAATGTTCTCAAAGGAATCTCCTATCATGTCATCCACCACGCAATCGTCAGAAACCTTCTGTAGGTGTATTCCCACGACGTAGTGATTTGATCTGTCAACACTGTTCCTCCTCTGCAGAAACAAGACAGCACTCCTCCTACCAGCATTGCAGTACAACAGTTCAAACATTATCCGAAGCTTGGAATTAGAGTTCTCCTTATCAAAGAGGTCGATCTTCCGCGGTTGTCCCAACAGAGACTCAGCCGTCCTGGAACTTGGGGAGTCATCGCAATGAGAATAGTACATCGCTGCTTGCTGATAGTTGCAAGGCGGAGGGCAAGGAGCCTTCGGGCAAGACGCTTCTTCATTCTCCCTTGCCTCTTGCATCGGCAATGGATTGAGGGCCTCGCAACTTTGCACTTGCCGTATGCTCGACGTGACTGAGTAATTCCTGGTAGCAATGGTTGAGCTCGTGTAGGGCTTGAGTCACCAACGCACCTGCCATGTCCGTCCAGGAGCGAGATCATCAGAGATGTCTTAGCGTGGTCGTTCAGCTCCTGCCAGACCTCCAGCAAGGTCTTGTTGGCCGTCGAAATCCCATTGATTTCCAGGATCGTGGATGGAACCGAAATTCTGCACTCCAAGTCAGTGATGGGACTCACAACGTCGCGCAAAGATCACAGCAAGGACCTCGCTCCCTCCTCTTGGGACGACCTAACAACTTGGGGGACATCGTGATCCATCTCGATGCCAAAGGACGAGCCATCGAAAGTGAATGACAACATGCCTCAACCCGACTCGGACTGAGGCTCAGCGGCTCCCCGGCCGGACTCGGAGTCACCTCAGCCTGCCCTGTTGCTCGTTGCTCCTGCTCCGAAGCCTGTTCTAGAGCCTTGGTCTCCTCTCCTTCAGAACTTTCCTCCTCTCGCCCTCGCTCTCCTTCACTTGATCTCGGGGACGGAAGTTCAATGGTCCTCACCCTGTAACGCCATCCGAAATCAAATCGTACCACCCCACCCCACCCCGAAATCAAGCTTTTGCAATAGAGGTACCCCACATTTTACCAATTTTACACCACACCGGGTGACTACCCCCACCCCGGGTGGTGAGCGACCCCATCCGCCTGGGAACCATATCAGTGACCCCCGGTGCAATCACGCCGAACCTTGAAATTTCAAAATTGACCAGTGAATTCGAAATATTCAATCTATCTTGAAATATCAAGAAAAAGGTGAGCTAAAAGAGTTTCTGGGATAAGTTCAGAGGTAACCAGGGTTTTCACCTCCTTTGATCCAGGGGGTGGGTGATTTCAGGTTTATAGGTAGGGTGGGAGAAAATCACTTCCCGCCAAAACATGCAGAGAGGAAGGAAGTGAGAAGCGATATGTAAAGGGAAAGGAAATGGTGGCAGAGGACGAGAGATGGGAAGAAAGTAATGAGAACAAGTTGCTGATTGTGAGTTCATGGTGAATACGGGATTTCAACTGTATCCAGTAGAAATCGAATGAGACCGATAGTGCAGGTGAAGAGTTGTTCGAGATCAGAGATAATAGAGTTGGACAAAGCAATTGCTGAGCACACAGAATGAAGTATATATATCTGTTCTAAACTTGGGAGAGAATCAAAATCTCAGGAAATCATCTTCTTTAAACTTGAAAAAGAATCAAATCTTGACATACTTTCATTTACAGATTTCGTTCATTTTAAAGCAGGTGGGCTTACTCGCGCAGACTCTCGCCATGTCAAAGAGGAAACTTGAGACAAGTGAAGACGCTAATCAGCCAAGCATTGCCCAATTTTTCAATGTGAAAGGGGAAAAAGCAGATGCAGAAGAATCTGACAACAATGAAACTCTTCGAATCACTTACTTTGCGGAGAAAGAGGAGGAGGATGACAAGGGAGAGAGAAAGAAAAAACAACAGAAGCGCAGTAGCAAGGGTGATGTGCCTTCAGCGGCGAAGAATGCTGCGAAGTCGTCTGGAGTTCAACAGAGCAAGAAAGCTCAACTCAACAAGACGAACAGGTCAATCAACGACCCTGTTACCAAGATTGAGGGAGGGGAAAAGGTCACCTCAATGTCTCCGTCAAAATCACCCAGGCAGGAGCAATCCAGCAAGCGGCAGAGCAAACCGAACTCCAAGAACGCCGGCCGCAAGAATAGAAAATCGGAATCTTCAAAGGTTACTCTAGAATCGATTGCACTGCAGTATGGTGAAGGAGTTCAGACCCCAAGGCACAAGCCCAAATTCCACGAAGGAGATCGAATTTTGGGTGTGAGTCACATCAGTCATGGTGAACTTTATGAGGCAAAGATATTGAAAATTCGGCCAGAATTGAAGCAGGGACAGCCAATTTGGCAGTATATGCTCCATTACCAAGGTTGGGCGAAGAAATGGGATGAGTGGGTTAATGAAGATGGATTATATGAAGACAATGCAGAAAGTAGAAAACTAAAGCAAGAGATTTTGGATAGAAACAAAGCGCGGCGAGAAGAGTTGAAAGCCAAGGGCAAAAAGCAAGTTAATGCAAAAGCAAGTTCCAACAATGAATCTCAAAGTAATATAGACCACGAGAGCTATGAACCAAAAGAGAAAAACTATAGGGTGTGTTGAAATCTAGTCTTTATATTTGCTGATTTTTTGTTACAGATTACTCTCCCAAATACATTGCAACGCAGACTTCTTGATGACCTGGACATGATTGAGGACAACAAGCTTTTGCCTATTCCCAGTATGCCCACAGTTTTTTGGGAACTCGTATTGATGAATTTTCCAGGAAATCCCTGTGTGAAACAATTTCTGCAAAATTTCCTTGATTTCAAGAAATCGGCTGGTCCGTCGCCCCAGGAATTTTCAAAGATGGAAGACATGATCAAGGTGAATGGTACATTGGGGCTATTGCTGAAGGAATTGACATGGAATTGCAGGGTCTGGAGGTGTTTTTCAACAACACATTTGCTAAAATGCTGCTCTATCGATTCGAGAGTGTACAATTTCGTAGGTAGTCTTTGAACAGTCAGCATTCCGCAAAAGCAAGTCTTCTCACTTTGCCAAAACCAGATTCTGTTCAGCAAATCCAGGGATGAGGCCAAGCGAGGTATCAGTTTGATGCAAAGACATCCTCGCTAACATCGCTAGGTCTATGGCGGAGAACATTTCTTGCGGCTGATGGTAAAGCTTCCATCTCTCATGCAAGAAGCAAAACTACCGCTTGATCTGGCTCAGGCAAACGGAACATTTGTGTATGGTAACTCTCTGATATTTTTTTGTTAGAATGTGCAACCTATTTTGACTGATTTGGTCAAATACCTCGAGAAGAACGAGAATATGTACATGACAACAGAATGGCAGCCTGTCGATACAGATTACATTGAGGTGATTACAGCATTTCCTTTTTTTGCAACGTGTCTTTCTGATGCGAAAAATGATCAGATGATCGACCAGCAGGCGATTAATTGATATTTTAATTGATCTAGAGCTTTGAATTAGCTATCAACGAATCTCTCGTGTTGGAGCAAGAGATAAAAAGAGATAACAAAAAAGGATCTTCTTTCATCGTCCTAGCATAACCACGAGGTGCGTGATCGAGAAAAGTCGACGTCGAACAAATCGGATGCTTCAGTCAACTGAGAGTTGCAGCTCTTTGCGCACCTCAATCAAGTTGTCATCTCATTTCCAATTGCGATGCTAGACAGATATGCACAAGGGTTTCATACAATGGCGATAGAGATGCCAAAAGCATGCGCTTCATCATCAGCAAACTGTCGTCAGGACTGCGAGGACGTGGATGCGAGTCGATCCAGCCCGCACACTCTGTGTGCTTGGTAAACAAGGAACGTGTAACATCCTACATGCGCGAAAGATGCTATTTGATGCTAGCGACCACTCATCAATGCACCCCACCCGCCTGATTGGAATCTAGGAGTGGTCTCAAGGAGGGGTAGTGCATCCGCCTTGGAGGCAGAGAACAACAAATAGAGTTGAGACTACCGTACGGTCTGCACGACAGCCCGCCACGTTGACTTTTTCGAAAACATTTCTTTTCGCACTTCAAAGTGTACCAGTGTCACCCGTGCTGACAGTTTGGTCGTAGGAAAGTAATCCCCATCTAGGACAATGCGAGTTTTAAAATCTCCTGTACCCCCCCCCCCGTCGAGCTAGACCTGGCAATTAAAATCATCATACCCTCTCTACGACTTCTCCATGTGTGGGTTGTGACCTCAACGTGAGGGGTACCTGTGATAGTCTTTGACTAGGAATAATATGACCATGAGTAAACCCCCTCCGATAGATTCCCTGCACCCCGTTTTGTACTTGAACCAGGGTACCGATGAAGTCGGGGGGATGGTGGAGGTAGGTAGGGTGATGAATATTAAAAACGCTTACGTAAAACTGCTCCCACAACTAGGGGGTAGGTGCTACTTGGGTTGCAAGGAGCTTTGCTCATAGCATGGGGTTATTAAACTTGAAGTCAGGGGTAGTGGTAGGGATTCGATGCGACCGCTGATTAAAGGGGACAGGGGTGGTATTAAAACCGAAGGGAAAGTATGGGTACTTTCTCAATAATTTTGAGGGTAGGGGTAGTTTATTGGGTTCGATCCTGGTACTTATGCACCCCCTTTGGCATTATAGACAAGGAACCCTCACCCCCTTTTTCCTCACCCCCTCTGACCTACAACCCCTTTTCAATGCCTTCTCGAGACACCCCTCTACATGAAGATTCGGTACTTTCATCCAAATATATAGGTAGGGGTAATGACCATCATTATGCTGTGTCTACACCGGTGGTCAACAAATCATCACCCCTACCCCAACTCTGGCGCTCTACAGCCGTACCGCCTCCTCTACACCCCCTGCGCCTCTCCTCTCCGCCTTGCCCATCCCCTTTCCTTCCCTCTTCCCTCTCTTGTATTCCTCTATCCTTTTCTGCAGCCTCTCCTCCTTCTCGGAAGGTAGGCAATCGACTTTTGATTGCTGGCTTTCCTGTTGAGGCTCAGGCTCTATCGACGGTAGGAGTTGTTGCTTCCGAGCCGACTCCGTGCCCCAGCCGCCATGGCCATTGGGATTGGCTTCCTCAATGGCGTTCGCCTCGCCAGTCGTGGATGCACTAAGCTATGCTCGGGTGCATTTTCAAAATCCGTGTCGCAAACACATTTCCGCTCCTTCTCAGAGTCTGTGAGGGGTCGGACAACGCCTTTTGGCCCGTACGGTGGATTGATCAACAAGGAAGAAAGTGCCGACATGAACGCTGAGCGCCTTGAGAACTTGGGAGCTACTGGTGAAGGAACTCCTTTGTATGAAAAGTTCATCATGGAACGAATGGCAAGACGCGCTCAGTTTCTTGCTGAGAACAAAACTTTGGTCAATCAGAGTCATGACATTGAGATGATCAAGAACACAACCTGGTCTTGTATTGATGGAAATCAGGCAGCAGCGCATATTGCATATGCTTTGAGTGAGGTTTCCTTCATTTATCCCATAACTCCATCATCACCCATGGGTGAGATGGTGGATGAGTGGGCAGCAAACGGATTGAAGAACATCTTCGGCCAAACTTTGAGCGTCACTGAAATGCAGAGTGAAGCCGGCGCAGCTGGTGCTCTACATGGCAGCTTGAAGGCTGGTACGTTTGCCTCTACATATACGGCTTCTCAAGGGTTGCTCCTTATGATACCGAATATGTATAAGATTGCTGGCGAGCTCCTCCCGTGTGTTATGCATGTATCTGCTAGGACTTTGTGTGCTCACGCATTGAACATCTTTGGTGACCACAGCGATGTTATGGCCGCACGAACAACGGGATGGGTCATGCTCGCATCCGAAAATCCTCAGATGGTTATGGACCAGGCACTTGTGTCACACCTTGCGACCATGGACATGCGTGTCCCGGTTCTACACTTCTTTGATGGTTTCCGTACTTCACACGAAGTTAACAAGGTGCGAGTCATCAACTACGACGATATTAAGAAAATTTTTCCATGGGATTCTGTAAAAACTCACCATGACTCAGCTCTTTCACCTATGAATCCTCACATCCAAGGCACAAACCAGGGTCCAGATGTGTTCTTTCAGGCTGCTGAGGCTGCAAATGCAATTCACAATACCATTCCAGCATATATGCAAAAGTGGTCCGAGAAAGTGGCAGAGATTACTGGAAGACGATATGGATTCTTTTCCTATGAAGGTCATCCTGAAGCAGAGAACGTTATTGTAATTATGGGCAGTGGAGCAGTAACAGTTCACGAAACTGTGAAGTACCTTAATTCACACCAGAACCAGAAAGTGGGTGTCCTGAAGGTGCGACTGTTCCGTCCATGGATCACAGAAAGATTTATGGCAGCTCTTCCAGCATCGGTTAAGAGAATTGCTGTGTTGGATAGGGTTAAAGAAGTGGGCGCTATTGGAGAGCCCTTGTTCTGTGATGTATGTACCACTTTGCATCTGTCAGGAATGGACCACATCAAGGTTTACGGAGGAAGGTACGGTCTTGGAGGAAAGGATTTTACCCCAGGAATGGTCCTTTCCGTGTTCAAAAATTTGGAAGCTGCACACCCCAAGACCAAGTTCACGGTCGGCATTGTTGATGATGTAACGAACCTTTCCTTGAACGTTGAACAAGAAGTCGACATGCTACCTTCAGGGACGATTCAGTGCTTGATCTATGGATTGGGCTCGGACGGTACCGTTGGTGCAAACAAGTCGGCCATCAAAACAATTGCGCAGAACACTGACAACTTTGCACAAGGCTACTTCGAATATGACTCGAAGAAGTCTGGAGGGTTGACAGTGTCCCATCTTCGTTTCGGACCCCATCCGATCAATGCTCCATACCTTGTGAAAAACGCTGATTACATTGGAATCCACAAGGAAAGCTATCTTTCAAGGCTCGACATGCTCCGAAACCTGAAGGAAAATGGAACGGTTGTGATCAATTGCACCTTCGGTCCAGAGAAAGTAGAGAATATGCTTCCACCTCGTATGAAATACCAGCTTGCCTCGAAGAAGGCTTCTTTGTACTTGATCAATGCTGTCAAGGTTGGCAGGGAAACGGGAATGGGAAAACGAATCAACATGGTCATGCAATCCGTTTTCTTCAAGCTCAGTCGTGTGCTGCCGTTTGAGAAAGCTATCGAGTTATTGAAGAAGGATGTTCAAAAAATGTATGGAAAGAAGGGTGAAGAAGTCGTCAAGCGCAATTGGGATGCCATCGATCGTTCTATTGAAAATTTGGTTGAAGTTCCAGTGCCTGCTCAATGGGCCCAGATTCCGGTTACTACGAACAGTGCGGGCAAAATCACCAGTGCAGCTGGTATGCGTTCTTATTCGACTTACAATGGCAATGGTAAGACTGCTCCATTCAGTCCAGCCCTTCGGTCTCGTTCTATTTGGCGTACTTCGAATTCGCCATCACGGCGCTACTTTTCGACGAGAAACCTCTCCTCTCCTGCTGTGTCAGCGTGTGGTTCGAAGCCAGGCTGCGGCGGATGCTCAAAAACACCAGAAGAAATCAGAAAATCTACCCTTGAATTCGTTGATGAAATTGTTGAACCTGTCAACAAATTTGAGGGCAACGACTTGCCTGTAAGTGCGTTTGTCCCAGGTGGTCGTGTACCCACTGGAACATCAGCATTCGAGAAGAGAGGAATTGCTCTCCAAGTGCCTCGTGTAGATATGGACAAATGCACTCAGTGCAATTACTGCTCCCTTATCTGCCCTCACGCTGCCGTGAGACCATTCCTGTTCACAAAGGCCGAGCTCGAAGGCGCCCCTGAAGGCATCAAGAAAGGGTCCAGAAAGGCTATTGGCGGTGGAGTTCTAGACAACTACAACTTTCGCGTTCAGGTATGTTAACTGTTTTCAATCATTTGAAGTGTCACTCATTTTCGTAGGTGTCTCCACTTGACTGCACAGGATGCGAATTATGTGTCCGCATTTGTCCTGCTGATGCTTTGTTCTTCGAGGAAACCGATAAGGCTGTTGAGTTGGAAGCTGAGAACTGGAACTATGCCATTTCAGTGCCAAACAAGGGAGAGGAAATTGACAAGACCACCGTTAAGGGTTCACAGTTTCAGCAGCCTTTGTTGGAATTCAGCGGAGCTTGTGAAGGATGCGGTGAAACTCCTTATGTGAAGCTGTTGACTCAGCTTTTGGGAGACCGTTTGGTCGTTGCAAATGCAACGGGATGCTCTTCAATTTGGGGTGCCTCTGCTCCATCATTCCCTTACACTGTCAATGCACGTGGTGAAGGACCTGCCTGGGCGAATTCTCTCTTTGAGGATAATGCTGAGTTTGGACTTGGAATGCGTCGTGCATTTAAGCAAAGGAGAAATCAGCTCATGTTCTTGGTAAGCACGTGTTTAAGCAAATTGTCTGTCTAAACGTTGTAATAGGTTGACGATGCTTTGGAGGATAAAACTGTGCCGCTCAGTGACAAACTTCGCAAACTTCTCTCCCAATATTCCGTTATGCGACATGAAGATAAGCTTGACATGCTTTTGCCCAAAGGAAGATCGTTTTACAATCAGGTATGTACTGATATTTTTCTGAGTATAAGGTGACTTTGATCTCAGCTGCGGGAGAAGATTATTCCACTTCTGAGAGAGGAAGCTAAAAACCATGAAAAGATTCAGGAATTGTGGGATCAGGCGGATATATTTGGAAGGCACAGTCACTGGATTATTGGTGGTGATGGATGGGCGTACGATATTGGATTTGGAGGTTTAGATCATGTCTTGGCTAGGTTTGAAGATCAAACTTTCTTATTGTTATCTTTTGACTCTGCTGGACAGTGAGGAGCATATCAATGTTCTGGTCTTGGATACCGAAATGTATTCCAACACTGGAGGTCAAGCTTCGAAGTATGCGCACATGTGTCCTGTAAGCATCCTAATTTGTTATTTCAGGTCTACTCCACGTGGTGCTCAAGCCAAGTTTGCAGAAACTGGAAAATTGACAGCCAAGAAGGACCTTGGGCAGTACGCTATGACTTACAAGAACGTCTATGTTGCATCTATTTGTATCCATGTCAACCATCAACAAGCCATCCGAGCACTTCTGGAGGCTGAAGCATATCCCGGACCTTCGCTTGTGATTTGCTATTCCCCATGTATTTCACAGGTGTACATGCAGAACGTCCTCTCTTGCAACTAATTCGTTTTTCAGGGCTTCCCAATGGCTGAGGCCATTCAACAATGTCGCGATGCAGTCGAGAGTGGATATTGGCCTTTGTATCGTTACAATCCTCTTCTCGCAGAGGGTGGAAACAATCCCTTCCAGTTGGATAGCAAGAAAATCTCTGGCGACTTGTTCACTTTCTTGGCTCACGAAAATCGCTTTGCATCAGTTATGAGGAGAAATCCTTCCTATGCCCAAGCGCATCAAGACCGCTTACAACGACAGATTGCAGACAGAGCGAAGGCTCTGAATGTTTTGAGTCTTGATGAACTTCCGGCATCTCTCAAGGCTGCTGGTCCATCCGAGAGTGTGACTGTGCTTTACGGCTCTGAGACTGGAAATGCCGAGGAGCAAGCCAAATCACTTTTTGCCGATTTGAAAGCAAGAGGCACCTCAGCAACCCTATCTAGCTTGGATGACTTTGATTTTGAGGAACTTCCAAATCAAAGCACGGTTTTGGTTGTCATTTCAACGTGTGGTCAAGGCGAATTTCCGGCAAATTCTCACAAATTCTGGATGAAGCTCTCTGATCCCACACTGCCAATGTCATTTTTGGAAGGAATCAAGTTTAGCGTGTTTGGTCTTGGTGATTCCACGTACTCCTTGTTTTGTGTCGCTGCCGAAAGAATTGATGTGAGGCTGGCTGAGCTGGGTGCCACTAGAATTTTGAATCGTGGAATTGGTGATGACAGAGACGAGGACAGGTATTACACGGGCTGGGATAACTGGACACCGCAACTTTGGAATGCTTTGCACGTCCCACAGAAACCATTGGAGCGAAAGATACCCAAACCTGCGTACAAGGTCACTCGTACCCAGGGAGAAGCTACCCCATCAGTTTCGAATGATAAGCTTGTTCCTCCGGGATCAAATCCATTGAAGCTGATGGAAAACACGTTGCTCACGCCGGAGGGTTATGACCGTGACATCCGACACTATGTGTTTAAAATCAAGGATACGAATGTTGAATACAAGGTTGGTGATGTACTTGCAATCTATCCAAGAAACCACGTGGATCAAGTTGAGGAGTTCTGCAAGATGTATGGTTTGGATCCCAACGAAGAGCTCAATGTCGTTTCTACTCCCGAGGCAAGAAATCAGATTCCTGAAGAGCTCAATGTTCGTCAGCTTCTTCAGTGCGTGCTTGATATCTTCGGCAAGCCCAACAGGCGCTTCTACGATACTTTGTCTCTCTTCGCCACAGACCCGGCTGAGAAGCAGAAGCTTGAGCTTATCACTTCTGAAGACCCAGACGGCAAGGCCTTGTACAGAGAACTTTCACATGACATGGCAAATCATGCTGATGTCTTGAAGCGTTTCCCTTCAGCAAGGCCTCCTCTGGAGCAGCTTATGGACATGATTCCGGTGATCAAACCGCGTTCCTACTCCATCGCTTCAGCTCCAAGTATGCACCCTGATGAGATTGAGCTTTGCATCGTTGCTGTCGACTGGGAGGTGCCTTCAACGGGCGAGAAGAGATTCGGGCAATGCACAAGCTACCTGCGAACCACCAAGCCTGGAGACACCATCATGTGCTCTGTGAAACCAAGTTCCATCGTCCTCCCTGAGGACAACAAGGCTCCTCTCCTTATGGCAGGCATGGGCACCGGTCTGGCGCCATGGCGTGCCTTGACCCAGCATCGCATCGCCCTCAAGCAGCAAGGCATCGATGTTGGACCCTGCACCATCTACTACGGCGCACGCAAGGGTGCAACCGAGTACCTCTACCGCGAGGAGTTCGAGAAGTACGAGAAGATGGGAGTCCTAAGAATGGTCACAGCCTTCTCGCGCGACCAGCCGCAAAAGATTTATGTGCAACATCGCATCAGAGAAGACTACGAGAATGTGTTCCGACAGCTGATGAAGGAGCAGGGCAGTTTCTATGTGTGCGGATCTTCTCGAAACGTTCCCGAAGATATCTACAACGCAATGAAGGAGGTCATGATGCTTGGTGGAGGGATGCAGGAGGCTGATGCTGAAGCCGCTCTTGCTTCTCTCAAGATGGACGGACGTTACACAGTCGAGGCTTGGTCGTAGATTGCTTCGCAAGAGAAACGTTTTGATTTGAATGAACGAAGTTTCACATCCACATCATTCTTATCCCTCCTGACCTATCTCCGATGTAGAGGCGATTCAAGTATTGGTCCCCCTGGCCAACGTCAGCCTCGCTCTCATGAATGCGAAGCTACCGCAATGCAGCAGATCCTTGCGGAGACGTGGAGCAAAAGCTCTCCCTTGACCTGCAACCTCCTCACTCCCAACCCCTGCCCCTCCTCCTTCACCTCCTCCTCCCTTGCTGCTTTGAGACTCCAAACCATGACGTTGCCCTCGGCCCCCCCCGACAGCAGCCGCGACCTGCCGAGCATGATTGCCAGCCATCCGTGCAAGCCTGTTCACCTGGTCTCGTCCACGACCAGCGACCTGACAGGCTCCGCATGCCCTCTAAGTACTCTAAGGAGGGCAAGATCCTCCGAGTCCCCCACGTCCCAGACCTGCAGGAGACTGAAGGAACGGTCTGAGGACAAGTAGCTTTTACTTTGATCGTCGTGTCGTCTCCTGCCGAGCACAGGAGCTTCAGGTAGAGATCCAGAACGAGCCCGTTCACGCTCTGCTCGTGCCCTTGTATCCGCTTCGTCCTCTGAAACTTCAGCCCTCCCTCCTCCACCGTCACTTGGAACAGAACGATGGACCCGTCGAAACCCCCAGCAAAGAGCACCCTCCTGGCAGAGTACAGCGCGAGGCACTCGATGCTCGCCCTCAGCGGCTCGCTACTGCCTACTTCATGCAGATCATCAGCCTTCCATGCCCTGACGGCTCCTTCGGCTCCCCCTGTGAGATACACATGCTGCTCCTTATCAAGCACGATGCAGTGAAGGGAGGAGCGATGCGCTTGTCGAGCAGCGAGTGGGCTCGGGGTCCCCGCGCTCCACTTGCGCACGTAGCCATCATATGACACGGAGAAGATCTGGTCGAGCTGGTCGTCATACACAGCAGACGCAACGGAGTGGTGATGTCCTGGGGGGGAGGCATCAGTGCGGCTGGGGAGGAGGGGAAGGGTGTGGGAGGGGAGAGGATGCTGAGCAAACGGTCACCGTGGAACTGAAAGTCCTCCTTCATCCCTTCGAGGGAGATGCTCCAGAGCTTCATGACACAATCCGCACCGCAGGATATGATGAAGGAGCCGTTGACCTGCACAGTCAGTGCCAGGACGTCCCGTTGGTGCGCCCGTATCCACTGAGTGACTCTGAGGGCAGACCATGCTACCTTCCTGTCTGCTGCTGACGTCAGCACACTCATCAACTCGCTCTGCAGCACCTATCAGCGTCCCAGGGCCTGACTTTGCCGTGATGTACTTGTTTATGGTGGAATCCATCTAAATCCACTGAGGCACGTAGTGGTGTCGGGGGTGCTACACACCTGGTGGATCAGGCTCAGCACCTGTCGGCTGCTCCTCAGCTCTTCCGAGTCAGGCATCTCGGACGCGTCGTCTCTCTTCGACGACACCTTCACCTGCAACCCGCATGTCAACTGCCCTATCAACCATTCTCGTCGCCAGCTACCAACTCCGCAAGAGAGTCCACCACATCAATGTGGTTGAGGAGATCTTTCATGATGCTGATGCAAGACATCCTGGAACCACTTCAGCAGAGCCAGTGGCGATCGTCTCTACCTCCTCTCTATCGGGTTGCGGCGCTTCAGGTAGTGGGTGATAGTGAGGCGGATGATGGTGAGGCGTCGGACGTCGTCGAAAGACTTGAGAATCCTGAGGGATTTCTCTGCGAGGAAGGGTCGTGAGGATGGATCTAGGAGCTTCTACTGCTCTGAGTGGAGCAACCTGCATGAGGCAACGCCTCGGTGAAGAGCTGTGTCGTCCGGTCGCTGACAACACTGGCGATTGAGTAGAGTCCTGAAACCCACCATCATCATGAGATCAAGGCACGAATGTGGGAGTCACTCCACCATTGCCAAAGAGAAGCACGGCTCTGTCCCAGTCTTCAAAGTCTGGCCTGCCCCTCTCAGTGCGCCTGAATGTCTTGGAGAGCTGCTTCTACAACCACGGCATCGTTTGTCAGCGGGCACGGAGGAGGAGAGAGCCAGGAAGGAGAGAAACCTGGAGCACGTCGTTGATCAGGTTCAGGTGGACCTTGTCAGATGCCTTGACATGATCCAAGCTTCGCTCCCCCACCATCTCCAGGAAGAAACGCATGCTGTCGTTCACCGCCACATCCACCATGTCGCATCTCCGACAAAAACTCGCCGAGATGAAGTGCGGTCCGATCATCGCCCGGCCGCCCGGCCCAGCCCGGCGGCCCGGGCAGTCCCGGCCCGGGGTGGGCCAGTGAGGTGTACGCCCCAAAGTTGACCAAAGTCAAATCACCCTACCCCTCTTTTGGCCCTGCGTGGCAACGATTTTCCTGAGAGCACCCAGGTCCTTCCTTGCCAATTTTTCCTATTAGCACCTGATGAGGCCGGAAAAGCAACTTCTCAGAAAGTGCGCCATGCGTCAGAGCACGGGCCGGGGGCCAGGGGGCGCGGGGGGCCGCCCCAGGCCGGTACTGGGAAGACACAGTTGTTATAGTGAACCCGGCCGGGCACTGGCAGGCCGCGGGGCTCGCGGACTGAGAAAAATCTTCTTTACTCAAAACTTACTGGCAGTACGGAAGTTTGAGAAACTGTGCCTTGTTTACTGTACTGAGAAAGAAGTTCAAGGTCATCTAGATTACGTTCAACATTGAGACTAGAGAGCAGCGAGGACTTGAATGAGGAGAGGAGAAACTGAGGAACGTCTACGAGCAGGCTCGCAGGAACACTCGCGTCCTCTGATGGGTCGAGACGTAGCCATCTCCTCTCGCAATCAGGCGAAGAACGCAACTCCAGTGGCTGCTCCTAGCAAAGCAGCTGCTGGCTTCCTCAGCAAAGAGCATGAAGTTCTGCTGCCCGGGGACGATCGTGCCAAGAAAGACGTCCAGTGTCCCGTCCTCCTCGTCGGAGTACACAAGGATGCTGTGAGCAAGCGACATCTCCTGCTCGAGCTCGAGCGGCTCGGCGAAGAAGATATAGCGAACACTAGCAGTGCTCCAACCGCTCGCTGAGGGCTGGCAGCCAGCAGGAGGCTGCCCTGAACGAGCGACGCTGGCAGCAGCAGAAGGAGAGAGCAGGAGGCCCTCCTGCCTGAGCTCTACTTCCCGGAAGACCCGGGCTGCATCGAATCCTCCGCAGGGAGGCTGTAGAGGGGCATGGAGGGAGGAGCCCGCGTTCTTCTTCACGTTGGACCTCCAGAACCTGTCCTGCACAAAGATGGGGGGGAGGGAGATGTAAGCTTCCAGGAGGCGAGTCTGGATGAGGAACTGATACATCCTGTCGATGACGTCAAAGACGGGCATGCAGAGCTGGGAGATCTTCTTGGCCCCTTTGACGCTGTAGAAGATGGCAGCGGAGCAGGAGGGAGCGAATGCTCGGGCAAGGAGAGGGTGAGCATGCGAGTAGGTGACGTTGGCGCAGGTCTCGTAGCAGAACTCCAGGTAGATCATGTCGGAAGACGGAGGAGACTGGGACAGAACCTCCGCGAGCCTGACGCTGACCTGCCGCAAGTCTTGGGCAATCGGGAGAACATCGTCCTCGAAGATGAGGAGAGGGTATTCTCCCTCCGCAGCGTCCTTGATGATACGGACTTGCTCATGTGCGTTTGCCAGGTACTTCATCTTAGCTTCTTGATCACCATCCTTGTACCAGTCCAGCCGCAGGAGCAGGTTGGCGGATACTTTGCCGCTTCCTACCAGCGATTCGAGATTCACCTCCTTCCAACTGATAGTGGGGGGTATCGAGAGGTTCTTGAAGCCGATGCGCCGGAGGGTCTGCTGGACGTGCTGGAGGCGGAGACTGTCGTGCCTCTGGTTCATGACGACGACCGGTATCGAACCGAGGTCGATGGACTCTTCCTCTCCCCCTCCTTGCGCACTGGCGGCGGAAACCTCCCGCAGCGATGGGAAGTTCAGTCTCATCATGGAGGCTGCTGAGTTGTTGAGAGTCTCGTGCAACCATGTACGCCATCGATCCGGTTCAAGTCTCCAGCCCTCGTCCTCACCGTCCAAGACCAGAGGCAGACGAGACCTGGGCAGGAAGTCCTTCGAGACCGTCCAGAAGAGATCGTTCCTCTCCAGAGAGAAAGGGGAATGCGATGGCATTTTAATCTCGTCGATCACGATTCGAGGGACTCCACTGACATGGCTTGTCCATGCAAACATCACCTGCACATCATCCACGCTGTTGAAGAGATGTCGAACAGTCGTCAACTTGAAAATCAGGTCACGGTAGCAGACGCTGGTGTGAAACCCGGTGGTCCCGATCCTCAACAAATCTACTTCATCGCGATCTATAGCTCTCCTGCGGCCGTGGAGAGGCTGATTCAAACTCAGGCCCTCCAGCCCGATCATTGCGCGCTTGTCAAATTTGTCAATCAACGACTTCATCCTCCCAACGTAACCGGCAGGGTACGACAGGCGATCATCCATCATGATTACATACCCCGTCCAGAAGTCGAACACACTTTGCAATCTGACCACGTTGACGCTTGACATGTTCTGCACGCTTCGAGAACAATCGTGGAAGTCCTCCTCCCTGACTTGCTGTGGAATTACCCAGTCGATCCGCGTCACACCCTCCAGGTGAGGGAACAAGCGCATGAATCCCTCTCTGCACTCCTCACCTTGCAAGCAAGAAGAGAAGACGACTACATTTGTGTTCTCCTCCATCGAACCCCCTTTGTCGTCCTCATCAATCACTAGAAGTTTCCTTGACAAGACCAGCTTCTGCTCCCGCTTCATCCCCACTGTCCCAAAGATCAGGAGCTCGACGTCATGGCTGATTAGATGATCATGCAGAGTGACCACCATGTCGACCACACACCCTTGCCAACGTTGACTGTTGACAAGGAACGAACATCCTTCTCCAGATTCCTTGTTCTTCGTCTCACCCCGGACGAGATCCGCACGCGTCAGCTCTCTTGGTCCCCCAAATGCTCGAATCGTCAGCCGGCTGGAATCATCTCCTGTCAGCCATGGCTCGACAGCGAACCGAACATCACACTTCCAGGTCCTCCCGGGGCCCGACAAGATGCATTCGATCTCGGAGAACTCCACAAGATGGTTGCTGGCAACTGTTGTTTGATGATCCGCGAAGATCCAATCGCTCTTGAAGTCTCTCATGACATGCTTGTCAAGTCCAAACATGTAAACCACTCGCTTCGCTAGTTGCGACAAGTCGAGATGGTCGGCAAAGAGTGCCAGCGGGCCATAGGCAAGATGGAGCTCCTCCGCGTGTTCAATCAGGAGAGCCATGTCCAAGATCGAAACCAACGAGGACAGGAAGGGCGTCACGTCAAGGCAGCGAGCGTTCCCTAGAGTCAGATTTCCCTCCCGGCAAGGGGAGAATCTCGAGGATGACGAGGACACTATGTAACGTTCACCTGGCCGGATCCCAAACAAGTCCCGCACGCTCCGCTCATCCTCCTCTCGCCGATTGAAGTGCCATCTTGACCAGCGCTCGCTGGGGTCCCTCCCCAGCTCGAGGTAGAGTGCGTCTGTGCAGCTCATGCTGAGGGCTCGCGACGTCCCTGGGCCGAGGAGTTTGAGAGAGGAGCCATCAAACCGGATGCTGGGAACGACCAACTCCTGCTCGAGAGACTGCGAAGATGCTGCAGGAAGATCTTGAGGGAGCAACGGTCGGACGTTGTGCAGATCTCCGAAGAGACGATCGAAGGATGGCATCTCCTCTTCGGTCATCTCCAGCAAGACCTTGCCATGGCTGGACGACAAGTCCCTGACGATTGCCGCGCAGAGCAACAGCTCCCATGAGCAACCGCCATCAGTTTCCGTTCCCTGATGCCTGTGGAACGTAACGAGAACATCGCCAGGAGATGCCCAGGACAAGTGCAGCAGGATGGATAGGACAAGTGCTACAATCGCCCATCCCCACGAGGGCAGGTGCATGCCTGCCACTTTGCGCATCGGTTAAGCCATGGACTGTGGAGGTCGTGTGATGCAGTCCCGAACAAGGGGTAAATGTGGGAGGTTCCAAAGTGATCGAACAAGAGATGTAGAGAGCAGGGAAGGGAACAAGAGGAATGAGGCCGTTGGGTGTTGGGGGATAGAAGAGGAAAGGAGAGGAGGAGGATGGAACGTCCAGGAGAGGAGAAGAGAGGAGGAAGAGAGGGAGGAGGGTCAGACTACAGATCTTCACGTGTCCTCCTCGCCTCCTCCCGCCATGGATCCTTTCAAGCAGTAGCAGCCATAGATCGCAATTCCCTCCTAGAGTCGCAAGGTGCAGGGGTGATATTGATAGACAGCATAAGAGAAGGGGTGTGAAATAGGGATTATTCAAGGGAAAAATGGTGGTGGGGTGGGACGGAAAATTTGCCTAGGGGTGGGGTGTGGGCTGGAGGAGGAGCAAGGTTTACCATGGCGGCAGAGATGGTAGAGGGGCGGCTGGTGATGGCGAAGATCAAGGGATTTTCATGGTGGCCAGCGCAGGTATGTGATGAACGCAGAGGAAAGAAGCGATGGTGTTGGATGTTCGATGGTGGGCTGGGTTGGAGCGTACTGCGCGCCTGAACCTTGAATGCAGATCGTCAATCCAGCAAGCAAGGGCATGCAGGAGAAGAATAACGGGAGCCGCTTTGTGTATTTCTTCGGGACGAAGAGATACGGTTGGGCAAGGAGAGAGTGTATCCTCCTCTTCACCACCAGCCTCCACTTGGTCGATCGACCGTGCTCATTGCCCGACAACTAACAGGACCCCGCCCCAGGTTTCCACTGCGAACGAGCGCAAGTTGAAGGCAGCGTTGCAAGAAGCGCAGAGGGCTGTTGTCGACTCTAGAGATGTCGCAGACTTCGAATCCAGTGTCAAGCGGCAAGGCCTCGGTGTCTACCTGGAGTCCAACTCCGCAGGGTCAGCTGCGAGCGCAACCGATGGCGCAGACGAAATCCGCAGCATGAAACGGAAAGCAGCCGAAGACAACGCGTCAGACTCGGCCAGCGAGAAGGATTTCAAGGCAAAGAAATCCGGTGCGCGGCTCTGCCCCTCCAGAAGTAGGATAGAACGGGTCGATGCATAGATCTCTCAGATTGAATTCCAGAATAGATATGGCGGAGTCCGATCATTGTGTAGATTCATTCTTTATTGCAACCTAAAGTGCGTCACTTTCTGACAGATGCAGCTGCAGGAGCAGGTACCAAGGAGAAATCGAGATCTGCAAAGGACGCATTGAAGTTTCATGAGAGCAACGACGAGGGCATGGATTTCGCGTGGATCGGCAACCCCACGCATGTAAGAGTTTGTTGTTTGTCTAAGGGAGGATGCTGAGATTTTCCAATGCAGATCAAGGATGGAAGGAAGTACTATCACACCTTCATGAAGAATGATCAAACTTTCCGATGCTACGACTGTGCTTACCTGTACGAAACGCGGCCTTACCATGCTGGGGCAAGTGAGATTCCTGCAGGAAACCGAACAAAGAAGATGAAGAGATGTACATCGTCCTCATCAAGGAGATGTGGGAAAGCGACGATGGCAAGAAGGAAATCCAGGGGCACTGGATCTATCGGTCATCGGACATGCCCAAGAGTGTTGAGATGCTGCACAAATCGGAGGTGTTCTTGTCCGACTGGGTGGACTGCAACCCTATCGAGAGCGTTGTCCAGGTGGGCTGCCGCTGGAGCAACGAACGTTTGCTGATGGCTGTCCTTCAGAGAGCTCCCGTCATCTTCTCCCGCAGCGATCCGAAGCAGATGAACGGGAAGTTGCTTGCAAAGTCCAAAGACCTCCACATCTGCCTCAGGAAACTTGAGCCCAAGAGTGGGAAACTTCGCTTTCTCAAGGATGTAGATGAAGACATCGTGCGGCGGATCCTGCCAATGGACACATCTGAGGTCTTCTCTGCCCTCCTTGGCCGAACCCTGTGACCTTGACGACCAGGACGACTCGGGCGACTTCCACCGGCAGCCCCCCAGGGACTACGATCCTCAGGTCCTCGAGAGGGCGGAGAAGTGGATCCCCCTGGAGCTGAGGCTCAAGACGTGGACGGGGATCAAGTCTATCAACCAAAGGTCAGCAGGGAACTTGCTGGAGGGAGAGGAGGACTAAGTGTTGTCCGTTGCAGCAACAAGCTGCCGCAGGCTCCCAACCCTCTGCGGCACGACACGAGGGTCACTGATATCGCACTCTCCCCTTCCGGCGTCCATGCGCTGACTTGCAGCATCGGGGGGACACTCCGGCTGTGGGATGTGGAGTCCGGGTCGATGAAGATGCAGTGGAAGGACTTGGAGGAGACGAACAGCCTGGACGAGCTGCACACGGTGGCCTTCACACATGGGGGATCGAGGAAAGTTTGTTGTGCAGGTCGACAAGGGTCTTCTGACTTGGGTGGTTCAGGTGTGTGATGGGGGGGTGTAAACGAGACCGATCCAAGTGGGACGATGGTAGGAGGAGGAGGAGGAGGAGGAGGAGGAGGAGGAGGAGGAGGAGGAGGAGGAGGAGGAAGGCGGGGGTGGGAGGGGGAGGATCGCTCGAAGTGATTAGAGCGGAAGGCGAGGAAGTCAACAGCCTGATCTGCGGGTTCATCAAAACCCTCTGCGTTGAGACTCAGGCTGTCCTACAACGACTTTGCCTCCACAAAGCTCCAGTGCTGAGGTCAGCGAGCTTGACCCTTGCTGCTGCGATCAAGCTGAACCGTGCATCAGAGTTGAGGTCGGGTGGAGTGAGGAAGGAGGGGTTTGCCTGTCGGAAAGTGCTGATGGAGCCGTGGTGAAATGGGTGTTTGATGGAGAGAAAGAACTCTTTGAGAAGGTGAGAAGTTTTGCTGCGCCCTCCTCCTCTGATCTCTTTGCCCTTCAACATCGACAGGCTGGTGATGTCTTCTGCGAGAAAGCCGGTGGGATAAACCTGCTGTACCCCCCGCGAGGTAGATCGTTGATGCTCGTTCCTCCTCCTCCCCCTCCCCCTCCCCTGACCGATTCGACCAGGCATCGAGGCAAGCTGCATCGCCGTTGCTCACGACCGGGGACTGAGGTGACTGCCAAGACTTTCTCCCATCTCTCATCCTCATCCTCCCGTCTCCAGCCTCTACGACCTCAAGACGATGGAACGGTGTGATCGCTTCGACGATCTCTTCTCGTTCGACTGCAAGGAGATCACAGTTGTGAGCAGACGTGCCGAGTCATCAGTCAGCCGCAAGATTGACATCCTTCCAGGTCCCACCCTACGACGACAACGCCGTCTCCACCGCCTGCTGGCAGACCCTCCTGCTGTGCGGCAGAGAGTCGAAGGTGAAGGAGCGATCCTCATCCTCCTGCTTCTGACCCTCTCGCGTTCCTCAAGGACGGTCACCCGCTTGTGAAGTTGTTCCAGATCTCAGGGGCAGGCAAGGAGAAGCATACCTGCCCGAGCAGGAAGGTACTTGAGACCGCGAGCATGGCGCCTACAAGCCTCCTGATCCCCTTCAGATCACGAAGCTCAGAGAATTTCTGCCTCCTGTCGCCGATGTGGACAAGAAGATTCTCTTCGGACGCAGCTGCCTAGCAAGCAACGGCCGGTACGCCATCCTGGCCCAGGTCGAGCAGCAGCCTCGCCTTCCTCCCTCCTTCTGAGCGGAGCACCGCAGGGCTTCCGCGTGTACATCTGGCAGCTGAAAACGGGATCGGCCGTCGCCATGATCGAGGTAGGAACCTTGGCTGAATGCTGGATGTGAGCCCAGGAGATCTCTGCTGACTCCCTGCTGCTCAGCACGGGCCGAAGTCTGAGTTCCTTTCCCTCCTCCTTCATCCCCAGAAGAAGATACTGTGGCTGGGAACGGCGGCAGGGATGGTCGAGCACTTCCGGCAGGAGTGAAGGGGGGAAGGGGGTGGGGGGGGAGGAGGAGGAGGAAGAGAAGGAGGAGAAGTTGGCAGGGCCATGTGTATTACTTGCTAGGTTTAACGATAACATGAAATTCTTTCCCGTTGCCCGCCAGGTGGCTGTCCCAGGAGAGCTCAAGAGAAACGTCGAGGTGCCTGACCCAGAGGTTGGTGTCGAAGAGCGGAGAAACCTGTCTTGCAAGTTCCGTCTGCCCTCTCAGCCTCTCCAATCTCTCACTCCTCCTGCTCTCCTGCCCCACCAGCGCTGACGCCACCTGCTCGTACTCCTCTAGATTGATGGCGACCATCTCAGGCCTTCCCGCTGCTCGCATAGTCAGGAGGAGGAGCAGGAGGAGCAGGAGGAGAGTGAGAGTGGAGGGGGAAAGGAGTTTGAAAGGGGTGCATGAGAGATTGAGGAGGAAGGAAGAGCAGCAGAGGGGAAGAAGGACGAGGACGAGGAGAGGAGGGGCAGACCAGCGAGGCAGAGGGAGGCGGCGACGCGGGAGATCATGCTTTCTCGTGACAACGTGAGCATCGGAACGCCAGCCCACAGGATGTCCGTCGCAGATGTGTGCGCGTTGACTAGAGGCGTATCCTGCTCTCCGTCACAAGAGCAGCAGAAGAAGGGGAGGGGGCAGGGCGGTGGCACGAAGAGAGAGAAGGTGAAGCAAGGGGGGGGGGGAGGCTGGAAACGTGGAAGGGTGGGGGGGACGAGAAGGCAGAGATTGAGGATGAGCAGGATGAGCAGGAGCAGGAGCAAGAGCAGGAGCAGGAGTTGGAGACGGGGGAGGAGGATTGGTACCAGGAAAAGGTCAGCAAGCGCTCCTCGCTCAAGATATTCTCTCTTAGGAAGGGTCTTTCCGAAAACGAGACGATCGCTGCTGACCTGCACAACTTATCAGCCCTCCTGCTCCATCCCTTTTCCATCCCCTTCCCGCCCTCTCTGCTGTCTGTCATAATCTCTCAATTTCCCCCTCCTCATCATCATCTCCCCTCCTTCATTCTCAGTGTCCTCCTCCTCCTCCTCCCCTTCCTCCTCCTCCTCCTCGCAGACTGACCCCGCGGGCAATGGCCTCTTTGCGGATATTCTCCACAGCAACCGGAGGAAACTCGAGGAGCCAGAGCAAGGCATGAGGATGTTGCTTGAGGATTTTCATCCAAGTCTGAAAGACGAGAGGATCGATCTGAAACAAGTCAGCTCCTCCTCCTCCTCCTCCTCCTCCTCCTCCTCCTCCTCCTCATCTCGCATCATCACCTTGTACAGCTGGTTGAAGCAGGCCAGCAGGATCCCATGGGCCGGAAGCTCCGCAAAGTTCTTCCTGCTCACCCTGGAGCTGGGGATATCTGCCCAGCTGGGCTGCTGCCGGTGGTCATTGCAGAAGTAGCTGTGCGGGAGCAGGAGAAGTTTCTCGCTGAAGTGAGACTGAAAGTCCGGAGGAGCAACGACTCGGTCGGCGATCATGTGCTGCATGTACGGCGCCCCGGTGCTCGCGCAGAACCCTGAAGAGAGGATGAGAAGAGGAGGAGCAGGAAGAGGCAAGGAGGCAGAAGAAGGAGAAGAAAAGGAGGGAGAGGAGGAGGCAGGGATGCAGAAAGAGGAGGAGCAGTATACTGTTATAGTGGCGGAGGTGGGAGAGAGAAGGTGATGGTGGTGGTGGTGGTGGACCATGAGGGTTAGGAAAGGATGGAAAGGGTGGAAAAGAGGGGAGGAGGGGGAAGGAGAAAGGTATACCCATGTAGGACGTTTGCAATTCACTCGGCTGGAAGGAAAGCGAACGAGTAAAAGGAGAAATCGATTTTACAATCGACATGAAGTGATCATACAAAGCCAAACAGAAGAAAACAAAGTACAGGAAAAGAGCTGAACCAAGCAAAAGGGAGGGAAGGGAGAGGAGAGGAGAGGAGAGGAGAGGAGAGGAGGGGAGAGGAGAGGAGGGGAGAGGAGAGGAGAGGAGAGGAGAGGAGGGGAGGGGAGAGGAGAGGAGAGGAGAGGAGAGGAGAGGAGAGGAGAGGGTTCAAGACAACACATTTCTAAAAGCAGGCATTCATCTCCAACCTTGGACGCAAAGACCTCGTTGGCCCGTTCCCCCCCTCCAGTGTAGCCGACCAGATCGATCAGCACGTGGATTTTCTTCTTGTTGACCACCTTCGCTCCTTGTACTCCTGACTGCATCTTTCAACGCTCGACCTCCAAGGAGGAGAAAAATCGCCTGAGACAGACGAGATGTCGATGAAGTGCGACTTGCCCATGGCGCCTCGAATCTCCCGAGCAGATGTCAAAAGGGGGGGGGGGGGGGGCGGGAGAGAGGAGATGATGACGGAGATGATGACGATGACGATGACGATGATGAAGTAGAAGAAAGAACGAGTGAAGAGAAATGAAGCAAGACATCAGGGCTAACGAGGGGACAGGAGAGAGACGGAGTTGAGTAGCAGAAAGGGGGACGAGGAACAGGAAAACCCAGGGAGGAGGGGAAGGACTCAACAGCTCCTGACCTTGTTCCGCCATATTGGATCTCCCGGGTCATTATCCCCATTGAGAGCGAAGACAAATGCTTCGATCTGATGCAGGCAAGCTCAGACCCTCGTTTGCAACCACCAGGACACGCTCCTCTCCTCTTCCTCCCCTCCTCCCTCTGCTCCTCTTCCTGACTCTCATGGTCATCTCCCTCCTCCTCCTCCCTTTCCTTGTCCATCAATTCCTCCTCGACCAACAAGAAACTTGCAGACCTTCTGGCCGTGGCTGCTGAAGACGCTGCTCATGAGGTGGGAAAGGGAGTGGTCGCCGATGTTCGAGGACACCCACCCGACCTGGGACGAGCTCAGCTCCTGTGGAGTAGCAGCAGCAGCACCCACCCGCAGCTTCTTCTTGCTCGTCAGCGCTATCGTCGTTTTCATCGGCTTCGGCAGAAGGCTTCTTGTCAACCTGATCGCCCTTGCCGCATATGACCTGCTCCATCTCAGCCTTCTCCTTCGTCGCTCTCCCTGCTCCTCCTCCCCCCTCTCTCCTCCCTCCTCTCTCCTCCCTCCTCCCTCCTCCCTCCTCCCTCTACCTAGCCACCAGTAACATCTGGTCGACGCTGAGGGGATAGACAAGAGCATGGAACGGCTTCACGAAGAGCGGCTGACCCCCCGACTCCAGCTCACGTGCTAGCTGCTTCTGCAGCTTGGCGAACTGGGTGGACCACTCGTCCCACTTGCATGTGTGTCTGCAGAGACCCAAGTGAGGAGGGAGGGCGTAGAAGAAAGATCTTACTGTAGAGCATGGACCAGGTCGTTCAGCGCTTCCCAGTACGTCGGGCGGATGGACTGCCAGCACAGTGTGAGACGCTCATGGCCTGGGGGAGGGCGGTTTCTCACCAGAGCCTTCTTGTACATCTTGATCGCTTCATCCCACCGGTTCAGATGCTTGTAAGTGTCCCCGAGGCACCTGGCCGACGGCCGTCACTCCCCAGCTGACAACTAGCCACCTCCTCAGCATCACTTTGGCGCTTCGGCCAGCAGCGGGTTCAGCTTCATGGACTCCTTGAAGGCGACGACGGCAGCCTTGTAGTCTCCAAGGTCGGACAGAACGATCCCAAGGTTTGCCTGCCCTTCCGAGAACGATCGCTCCTGACGTCGGCACCCGTCAGCGGTCCTGCCCTCCTCTCCCTCCCCCTCCTACTTTGAGGCCAGCTGAGAGAAGGTTGCGAGCGCGCACTAGCTGCCCCTGCCCCCAGAAGATCATCCCAAGGCTCATGTAAGCCTCCGCCATCCTGCCAGCGCACGATCAGAGCACCAGCGATCCATCATGATAGCGCGTGCCTTCGATCTAGCCGAATCGCCTTGGCAAGATGGACCATAGCACCGGGAATGTCTTTTTCCTCCGAGTAAACCGTTCCCGCAAGCAGCTCGCCGAGGAAGTAGTGGAAGGATGCCTGGTGAGGAGCGAGCCTGATCCCCGTCTGAGTAGCAGGCAGAGTCACTCATGACGCTCCTTCAGCCTGTCAAGGAGTACCCGAATCGCCCTCTGAGCCATCTTGATATTCCCTGAGTTCTTGTAGGCGTTTGCAAGCTCATGGTAGAGCGACGGGTTCTGCACGGGGCTGGAGGAGATTGCTTTCTGTATGGCCTTGACCCCTGACGACGTGTCTCCTCTGCACCCACCGACAGTCAAGAGAAGACAGGAAATACTCCGACGTCTCTACCTCGCTTGCAGCATTCGAGCCAAGTTAGCATGCCCTTCAGGGGCAGATGGACTCAACTTCACCACCATCTACACGATCATCTCAGCACAGCAGAACGCATGACACTCTCCTCACCTTGTATGCATCTTCTGCCTTGTTGATCTTTTGCAATCCGGAGTATGCGTTCCCCAACTTACATGCAGTCAATTCAAGCAGGGGGGTGATGTCTCATCAGCAGACCTGGTTGTAGGCAGCGACGAAAGTAGGATTGAGCTTGACGGAAATTTGCAGCTCTTGTACAGCGTCTGCCAGAACTTTCTTGTTCCCCTTTGCTGAGTCGTACAGAGTGCTTCCAACGCCAAAGTAAGCTTCAGAATATGTCGGAACAAGCTTGATGGCGTCTTTGAAGAAGCGAAGGGCTTCATCATGCCGATGTTGGTTCATCTGAGTGAGCCCATAGTTGTACAAGGCAAGTGATGAATCGGGGTACAACTCTATCGCTCTCATGTAGCAGCTCTCGGACACTTGATAATCGTTCCCAAAGTACTTGTTCCCGGCAACCATCAGCTCTTCGAGCGATGGCTTCTTCCCTACTGGGCAAGGCGAAGACGACTGTCCTCTTGCCATCTTCTTCTTCTCCCCTGGCGGCTTCTTCCCTCTGCGCTTCTCCCCCATCGCCATCGCCATCGTCCACACCGCCACCATGATCCACCATTTCCCTCGCATCCCCACCAGTCCTCCGCTGAGGCGGGTTGCTCTCTTGCAAGGCGTGCAAGGCGTGTGGAACAGTGGGCAATTCAAACGTGAACCATCTGAACTTGACTCAGCATAGCAGGGCCTAGCCTGTAGGCTGCAGCCCCGGAGGTTGCCAGGCCCCGGGCCTGGGCTGCCATTTGGCCCGTGTCTTGTGACTAGACTTCAACGGGGACAAGTCCGCGCCTGACTTCCCAGCGCCGGGGCAGACCGGACTCCGAGACTCTGGGATTTCAATCATTCACGAATCAGGAATGGTTGCAATCCAATCTAGCAGTGAAGTTGCTTTTATACACTTGTCGTCGCTAGACGGGTAGAAGATTGATTTACAGCTCTTGCTTCACAGGTTCTGCTCCTGCAGGCTGCTGCAAGCTTTTGGATGCTACATTTCTAGAGAGCAGAGTTCCATTGTACCTGGCAGACAGGCTCATTCCCCCCCTCACTTGCATACACCAACACGCTGGTACCCGTCAAAGTCAAGCCTGACAAGCACTTGGGTGACATTGAATCCTCTGTCTCCTCCCCAGTCCTTGGCCACATGGAGCTCTGCATACTGACTGCGGAAGTCTACCCAGCTGGCAACAACGCCTGGAAAGCTGCGAGCAGCTTAGGAGGAGGGAGTACGACCGTCCGCGTGTGCTTCACCTGTCGATCACACCCTTGACGTGGGTTTGACAAGCTTCGCATCCCATGCCCTCAACCTTGAGCGCGATGATCTCCAGGTTCTCCCCTGGCGGGGCGAGTGGGGGCCCACCGGAGAGGACTAGGAGCTCCGGGAGGAACGTGAGGACTGCGAGGGAGGGCGTTACAAGGGGAGGAGGACAGCCATCTCACAGCACATACCGACAAACACCAACGTGAAGAGCATCAGGCGCGAGCGGTTCCAGCCCCGTCTCAGCGCCAGGACCCACTGCAAGGATAGCCAGGTGATGGTCAGGAACCTGATCTGTGTCCTGTAAGGGCCGAGGATCTTGTTCATCCCCGTGCATCCGATGTGAGCGATGTTCAACGTTGCCAGGAGGTTCGCGCCGAGCTGGAGGAGGCAGCAGCTGCTGCCCAGCAGTCCGGCAGAGAGGCACTGCAGCCAGTCGAGCAAGGAGGCAGCTGCGTGAAGGTAAGAACAGAGGAGTCTACATGACGGGAGACGCACTTGCTTTCGGTGTAGAAGCCTTGTCCTGCTCCTTCGCACTCTCGCCGTTGACATGCTTGTCCTCGGCAGGAGCGTTGTCGTTTTCGAATGAAATGATCTCTGTGGGAAATCCGGCTGCTGTGACTTTCTGAGCCGCTTCTGTCACAAGTTTGACGCCCTCGAACTTGTCTTTGACATACAGGGTAGCCGTGGCTTTCTCAACTGAGACATCGTCCGTCACGATGCCTTCTATGCTATCAAACACTCCACGGACGGTGTTGGCGCAACTGATACATCCCATAGCCTTCGGCTTGAAATGCACGACGACCGTGGCACCTGTCCCGTCGCGCTCCCCGCGCTCCTTTACCTCTCCATCCTTCTGCTGAGAGCGAGTCATCTTGGCTCCTAGGTACAAGATTTCTGGGCTCATAGTGACGACGATCGAGATCAGGGAGGCAACCATGGTCGTGAATCTCTGATGAGGGATCGGAAAGTTGATGTACCAGGCGAAGGACTGGGCGATGACCGTGGAAGCGAGCAGGTGGGGCCGGAGAGGTCCAAGGGCACTGAAGGGTTGTCAGGGCAAGGCAGGAGAATCTGGATGATGGCTCACGTGTTGAATCCAGCACACCCCAGCGACATCGCATTCAACAGCACCTGCCATCCCAGTCTCATACGCGACCTTATCTCACTTCTCCCACCTGTATCAGACAGCAGGACGAACTCAGCAGCCCCAGGACGCTCCACCTGCGCCATAACGCATGAGCAGGTGACGATGATACAAGGAGAGAAAGCTCAGGGCCATACCATGCGTATCTATGTGCGGTCCTAAGGACCTGAAGCTTCAGCCATTCAAAGGCATCCTGAACTCTCCGCCGTCAGCAGCATGCCTCCTCCCACCACCACGGATCACCTCGTAGACCTCCCGGACTGCATGTATGTGATATCCCACGGCGATCTGCAGTACAAACTTCAACAAGAACTCAAGTGCCAGAGGTTTCTCACGATGCAAACTTGGACCAACAAACTAGCACATGCCCTGAGGAGAAAGATCATTTACGAAGCAACGATCCAACAGACAACACATTCGCATGAAGCCTTCATCCGTGACTAGGTGCAACCTCTGCATCCCTGTAACAAGAGGGCTGTTAGAGCGTTCATCATCCTCGTTGTAAACTTCCAATTCCGTCTAACAAGGACGTGCCACAAACTTCTGCCCCTGAGAGAACCTCGAGTTTGTTCTTCTGGCCGTCTCTTCAATGGATTGGCAAGTTCGTCTTATCTCATCTTGTGCTTCATTGCTTCGAATATCACTTTGCCCTTTGCTTCTCCTCCTCCATACTTATTGTCAAAGTCCTCCTGTCCAGATCCCACTGACGACCTGGTTCTTCCCTCGCTTCTCCCGTCTCTTCCTTTCCACCACATCACTCCTCTCATCTCTTCGAACATCAGTTCCATCCTTTCCTCTTCTCCCTCCTCTATCGCACCTTCCCTTCTCCCTTCCCTTCCCTTCCGTTCCCTTCACTTCCTGTCCATCTCCGAATTTCCTGGTGGACCACCGTGTCGCTTTCACTTATGAGTCTGGACGCACCACCCCTACCCCCAAATTTCAAATCTCCCTACCCAGCGAAATCCGTCCGGTCATGCTGGACCCTGCCCCCCTGCCCAGCGCGCAACACCTGACGATGCTCCCATGGCTCCTCCTCCTCTCCTCTGACCTCTCCTCTCCTTGATAACTTCATCTCTGTCGTACCTCTGCTCCTTCTCCTCTCGCTCCTTCTGCCCCTTCTCTCGAAAATCTCACCACTTCCCGTTGCGTCTACCCTTCCGCTCTTACTCCCTTAAAGTGATCTCCCCCTCCCCTACGTGTTCTTCCCTCCTCTGCACGTTCTTCCCTGTTCTATCTCCCTCGTCCCTGCTTTTCCCTACATCTTTACATTCTTCTTTGAATCTCGACCACCTCCATTCATGTTTATGAACCTTTCCCCTTTCCCAAATCTTTCATCGAATACCTTCAGATTTCAACCCTCTTGCTCAAATCCTCTATCATGTGCCTCCTTCCCGCTTGAAGTGTTTCTTCTGAAGCGTTTCTTCCAATTATTGTTCTGGTTGTCTCGGGCGGTGATTACAATTGAATCTTGTAACTGAACTTGGAGCAGATGAAATATTCAGCAAACCAAGAACTCACTGCTGATCAAGACCGCCATCGTCGTGTCTCACTACCACGATAGATACAGAATGCTGCTGCAAGGAGATAAAATGCTCTTGACGAAGTTTATCATACTAAGCTTACATCTTTTGCTGATCTTGCAAGTATCAGAAGAGAATGCCGTGATGAAATCTGATTCCGACTACAAATCCCTTATGTTCCCAACAAAAACGCTCGAGAACTCTCAACCTTCATTTGGGATAAGAGAAAAATCAACCACGGCCGCGGACCAGTCTTTGAAACGGCAAAGGCCTGAGTATTCAGACAGCCATGATCAACATAGGGGGAAAAGATTGGGCCAGGGGACGCCAGTCCGCGTTGTCAAGAAGAGGCTTGGTACATAACTCTTCCCCCTTGTCGCCCGATGATCCCTTGGCGAATTTCTTGCAGAGCGAGGATTTCGATCGAATAGGAGAAGTGACCTGAGAAATCGAAAAGTTCCAGCTGGTTGGGATATGTGCCGGTATACATCACCGATATGTTCTCAAGAGACTGATGTGCATCGCTGCTAGCAAATTTGGAGAGCCGGTTGGAGGTAGCAAGATGTTTTCAATGAAGGTAATTCGTTGTGATCCATTGCGGGATGGCCCCATACAGACTGCACGTGCGACAGGTCCCCCTTTGTGCAGACTACAGGATGAATCCTGCGGACAAGTGCGACCGCAGCTGTTCTTTTTGTAGCGCTCGTGAGTTCGATGACGGCAGGTTCACCCCCGCGGATTGCCTTGAGATGCTGAGGGCTCAGAATCGGGATCTGGGACTAGTCGTGGATCTTACATTCAGTGATAGATATTATGACGGGTAAGTGGACATATGTCCAAGAACGAAGGATATTTCTGGCTGCTCTTCGCCTGCTTCCTTGAGCTGAAGTTTGACTTGTTGCAGGAGAGAGTTCTCTATGAGGGGGGTGGAGGTGATCAAAATCAGAGAGTGCGGCCATGGGGTTATCCCAAATAGAAAGAATGTGGTTGCCTTCATGAATCTGGTGAAGGTATGAAAGAAAACTCCCGTGCAAGCGTATCTCAAACGTGTTTCCTAGGCATTCACAGCAAGAAAGCCGGACAAGTACATCGCCGTCCACTGCACTCATGGCCTGAATCGCTCAGGCTACTACATCGTGAGTTTCCTGATCGAGGTAAACGCCGTGAGCGACGAGTCTCTTGGTGAACTCAATCGAAGGTTTTGCACTTCACCCTCGAACAAGCCATGGCAGCATTCACGCAGGCATCACCGCCCGGGTTGTGGGACAATGAGTATATCCTTGCCCTGTACAAGCAGCACAACGCTGGAGTTCCCGTGAGTCTACCAGGGAATCCACCATGGCGAGCAAACAAGACCCATGCGCGGTCCAACTTTGGGGGGAAGATTCAAACACGCAAACAAGAATTTCTTGCTTCAAGCTCGGTGAAAAGAAGTCCTGTGCAAGTTGGTCAGCTTGCCAATATGACAAACGGTTTCTTCACGGGTAAATTGTAGATTGAAGAGTCAGACTGTTCCGTTTGACCTATTTCTCCAACAGCAAGAGAAAAAGCATTTCCACCAAGAAGCGTGGTGATCCTAAGAGGACTGCCGGGGAGCGGCAAAAGTACTATGGCATCGAAACTTGCAGTCAGGAGGGCCCCGAACAGGACATCTACCAAGGGAGGCGCTTCAATGCAGAGGGAAGGGAGCGATTCGAAGGTGGTGTGTTCCTCAGATCATTTCTTCTACGTCGATGGAAATTACTCCTTCGACTTGGCCCGCATCGGGGAAGCGCATCAGGTGCGTTTGCCCGACGTAACTTCTCCCACCTGATGTCAAACGTGTCCCACCCCAACAGAAGTGCATGCAAGCCTTCATCCTGGCTGTTCAGAGCGAGGTGGACCTGATCGTCGTAGACAACACGCACAGGTACCTAACGTGCTGCACCGTCGATTGTGGCTCAGCGCGGAGGTTTCCAGTTGCCTCTGGGAGTATGAGAATTACAAGCTGCTGGCTCAAGGGTACGGGTACCAAGTGGAGGTTGACCGGCCTCGTGATGTGCCACGTCACTTTCTTGTTCTGAACGCTGCCCAAGGTGATTGAGCTCGTCTGCCCTGACCTAGACTCCGCGAGGATGTTCTGCTCCCGTAGCAGGCACGATGTCCCTTGGACCGTCGCACACAGGCAGGAGCTCTTGCAGCCTGCTTGAGAGCATGCTGTTGACTTGCTCCCGGACAGGATGTGGCAGAGATGGGAGCCTGACCCAGCGGCCAAGTACATCTACCCAGAAGCGACAGAACAGCAGACGCAGAAAGAGCGCGTCCCTCACGAGGGAAGGGAAAGGAGAGAGTGTCCGAGTGGAGTCAACCCAGCTGGGAAGCAGGTGGGAGGTGACGTTGGGACGAATAATTCGAAGGAGGAAAGGGTGTGGCCCCGAAGGGGGTCGGGCGGGCCCGATGAAAGCATATTGCGTGCCTTCCCTTCTTTATTCCAGCCCTCCAATCGGTCGCGCATTCTCGCGCCCGGATGTCGACGCCTCCCCTCCAACAGCAGCAGCGACAGGCAGGGGAAGAGCAACATCACCCTGGTCTTGAAGCAGGCTCATGTTCTACGATGGGTCACCGGCCTGGTCGCCAAACGGCATGTAAGAGCCGCAGCTTCTTTACGTTGTTGCCCTCCAGTTTGATCATCTCTACAGGAGGGCTCCAAGCGCTTCAGGCAGGTCATCCAGAATGGCCTCAGGACCTCTCGCTCGGTCAACGCGGGGGTTCAACTTACTCAATCGTCGGGCGGGGAAGTGCAGACGAAATAGTTGAAGTGGCTCAGCAGGCTTTTCAAGTACTATAAATGATGTTTTAATGTTCCGTTCAACATCAACCTGACAGCCATAAAGGTAAACGGCGTAGCAAAAAAATGCCAGGATTGAGGTGTACCGTGTCATGCCCAACCGTTGAACTGCCGGGCGCCCCGGGTCGATTCGAGTCTCCTCATCATCAGTGTCCTCGTACTGATTTTTAACCTAACTTTGAGGAAAGCCTGACTCGCCTATGCAACAGTGTCACCTGCAGTGTCACCTCGTCCTGAATTTCCTGCTGCCCGGCGGGCCCCGGGCAGCCGGCGGGCCTCTGCCACCCGGCCGGGCGGCCGGGCCGGGCGCCAGTTTTGCCGGCGGTTACAGAGCAGAGGACTCGGTCAGTTTCGGTATAACTGCTGCATCGGAATTTTTAGATGTTTTTTTTTTCCGAACTTGACCCCGCCCCCAGTTTCACACCCCCTCTTTTTACAGTGTCTGGAGGGGTCTGGGCGTGGGTACTAGAAAGATACCAGGATGAACTTTACAAGAGGGGTGGGTCCAAGAAAGGGAGAAATGGGGGTGGGGTGATAACAGGGTCCATTTTTTTCAAAGTCTGTCAAGTCTCTGGATATGGGAAGGGTGGGGGTGTGTGAAGTCCTGGAATTTGAGGGGTACTCTCAGGTCAGAGGGGTGGGTGAGCAAAACGTTCATTTTGACACGGGGTGGGGTAACAGATCGGATTGAGGGCGGAATTGGACTTTGTGACACGGGTCTTAATACGTTACATGGGGGTGGGGGTGACTTTGGTCAGTCAACAGGAGGGGTACTAAATGGGTAATAGCCGGGTACTTGTCAACATATTGCAGTTGATGCGCAGTAAATGAATGTTGGGGGTAGGGTCACTCGCGGTACAGGGGGTGGGGTGAGAGCTACACCTTTGACTACTTGAACTTTCATGCTAGCTTGTCTCTGCTGCGTATGCAGTTGCGGGATATGACGCTTTTCAGAAGCCTGTAGCGTGCCCATACCCCTCTCCTTCTTACACTTTCATCTCCACTTCCATTGCTCTCCCTTCCACTGAGTCCTCCCTGGCTCCTCCACCCGTTACATCATGACTAGTGTCTGCCAAAGCGCTCCCGGTACCGTTGTTGAACGGTCCTTTCCTTCCATGCTAGAATTTGTAGCATCGCATAGATCACGCTGCAATAAGTCAATAGAATATCAACACTGAGCACTGAGCAAGCCGAATGAAGGAACAGTACTGCGATACAGTCCCTGCCTCATACCTTTGAAATGCTTTCGAGTTCAAAGACAACTCATGCCCTGTTTTTGTGCGAATGCTGACTTGCTGACTGGACGTTCTAAAACGCACTGATTGTAAAGCGCAGCAAGGTGCTGGTTAGCTGATGAGGACTTGATCGGGGTCATGGAGCATGATGATGGGAATTCAAACAATCAAGTGGCGAGACAGCTTCTGTCGAAGAAGAAAGGGAATCGTAGATGGAAGAGTGAGGAGCTCGTGTACGACAATGACGAAGGGCGCTATGTGCAAGCGGCAAAAGCTATTTCCAAGACTGAAAAGGTAACAGTTGATTTTAAGAGGGCTCAACGACTGAGAAATTGACAGTTCCGAAAATTTTGTATAAGGAAGGTTCATCGCTTGCAGTACAACTTGCAGGTGTCTCATCTGCTGATGATGGCAAGTGCTGATTTGGCATGATCTGATTTCAAACTTGCTAGATATGGGTTTCTGTTGTCGCGTCCGCCAGCATTTTCTGCTCTTGTCTGGTAGCCGAAATGTGCGGAATATCCGCAATCGGCCCGGTGAAGTCTTTGAGTTGCAACCTTGCCCTGCTGATTTATGCCAATCATCTTCTGCAGGAGGACCAACGATGTGATTCGAGTGTAAATCCCCTCAAGTACGTCTGCACGTTCTTCTCAGTGATACTGTCAGTGCAAGTCCTCAAGTTTTATTCATGGTACGGCTCTATTTTCTCGTGCAGCTGAGTTTTGTTTCTCAATCGTGATCCAGGCAAAGTGAAATCCATCACTTGCACAGCAATGAATGGAATCAGCCATTCCAGGGTTTTCTCAAAAATTTGAAGTACTATTGGAAGGGAGTTCTGACGGAATTGTTAATTTGTGGTGTTCATACCTTCCCTGGAGTTTCATTCGTCATGAAAGTTTCTGCTTATACGTTTGGAATTGGTCCTAGCAACGTGGAATTTCGATTTGAAAGTTTCATGGCAATCTTCTCGTTTCTGAAAATCTATCTTCTTTGGAGAATGTTCCGCATGTGGTGGTAAGGTTTCTTGTTGGGAGCGAGGGAAGGGAATGAAACTTTTGTTCAGTTTCTCTCATTACCTGTCCGAGTCGTTCTTAAACTACATGGAAAACCCAGCGATCGACATGCGCGCCACTGATTTGCCAATGAATGCGAGAATGGCGTTGAAGGTTCACGTCATTTCTCTCTTCCTTTCCTGACAGGAATGTCGTTCAGTTGGCGTTGCACCAATTTCCCCTCGTGACCATGTTCAGGTAGGATGGTCGTCTTGGAACGACCGAAGTTGTGATTCCTTGAACAGCTTTATCACCGTGTTCCTCTTCGTTTCCAGCTACCTGATGCGATTGTCGGAAGGTGCTGAACAAGTTTCGGAAAAGATTCCATGAGTTACAGGTCGCAGGTCCCTTCAACAAGGATCAAGCTTTTTCTTTCCTCAACCCAATGTGGCTGGTCACGGTCACCATATCAACAACTGGTATACTGAGACGAGACTCAGCAAATCCGCTCATCGTCTGTCGTCAGGGTATGGCGATATCGCTCCTGTGAGCTATCTTGGGCGTGCTATCGTCGTAGGAGTGATGATCATCGGAACCTTGTACATATCAGCTGTTACAGCAACTTTTGGGGAACATCTTTCCTTCACAAACATCGAGCAAGAGCTCATGCACAAGGTGGACACGAGGGGGAAGCTGTAGCGTACGTTCACTGTGTCGTTGGCAGGTTGAGAACGAGCAGTGGCAGTATCGGCTCGCCGAGGCTGCTGCTAGCGTTCTTCAGGTAGTCGTGCAGGCATGCAGCCCGACCTTGCTCATGAGTCTTCTGGCAGGCAGCATTTCGGAGGAGAAAAGATGACAAGAAGTTAGCGAGCCAGCGCTTCAAGAAGGTACTTGACCCCTCCACGTCTTTCTGCCCCTGACATGTCCAAGATGAGAGACGAGTACGCAGCGTGGTGCAAAGACAACCCGGACGTGGAGAAGCTTGACAAGCCGTTGTTCATCGCCGAGAAGATCGAGACACCCAAGAAGGAGGTAGCAGCCTCTGCCGTCTCCTCTGTCTACGGGAGCTGAAACCAGTTTCGTCTTGTCTGTCCCAGTTGTTAAGAGTGAACTCTGGGGATTTGAAATCTGTGAGGAAAATTTCTTGCCTCCCGTGCTGGTCCTGACAGGGGCTCTGCAGCTCCAAGATGGGCTAAAAGACATGGAGAGAGTTTTTCTGACAGAAATCCACAAGGTGAGCAGGTCAGCCTGTTTGCAAGGCATCTTACAAGAGCACAGATCGTCAATATCGTCTCTGAGAATCGAGTATCCCAGGGCTCAGTTGAGAACTTTGCGATGAGGCACTCCCAGTCCTCTACCGAGTTCGTGGCACGCAACGCCAGGGCGTACCTCTCCGACTCGAACACAGAGTTTAACAGGTCCGAGATGCTCTCGGACAACGAAGAGCCCTTGTTCGATGACAGTATCTTCTTCACCAAGATGGAGACGGTACTTGATGTTTGCAACGACGTGAATCGTTCGTGTCTCATTGCTTTCATGCCGTACTTCCCTTGAGCCAGCTTGTCGCCACTCCACTCTCCTTCTCTTCTCTATACCGTCCTCTGACTGCAACGATAGAAAATCAGCAAGATCCTGGCCTACACCAGCGACGTCGCCAACAACCGAAACCTGAGGAAATTCATCGATGCCTTGAAGCGGCATGGAAAACAAGACGTTCAGGTTGGCGATCTTCTTGGCCCTCATTTCCCTCTGACGAGGCTGCTCAGAGCAAGCGAGACATCCTGGTCAACAGCCTGGCGATGCTCGACCTCGTCAGCGTGCTCGTGCGACGGGCAGACGCGCAGAAGTAGGAGGAGGCGCGTGAGGGCAACCCTGACGTTGCTGGTCATGTGCAGGAGGAAGCTGAAGGAGCAAACGCTCATCATCGAGGCCCTCCGCGATGACTTTGAGTCCTTCGCTTCTCCCCGAGGGTCATCGAACAAGCCAGTGGAGGACAAGAGATCGAAGAGCCTCACGCTGGAAGTTCCTCACAAGCAGGCAACTCGCTTCTTTGCTCGCTGTGATGGTGTGATAACCCGACTGGACAGAAAATGGAGGAGTTCAAACAGAACAGTCTCTACACCACATGGTCGGAGGCCATAGCTGAGAAGGACAAAGCGGACAGGCTCGCGAAAGATCTTTCGCAGTCAAGAGTGACGAGGTTGTTCTTCAGCTGCTTCTACAACACCCTCTCATCGTACTATGGCAGGGCGAGGCGGAGTGAAGACCTATCGATGTACCAGAATTCTGGCAGGCTCAAGGATATGATGACAAGACCCGACAGCTACAAGAAGAAGCAGCCTGTCAGCGTCAACGCCGAACTTTGCATGGCCAGGTCCGTCCCTGAGAAGCTTTCGCCCCTGATCCTGCCTCCACAGCGAGTTCAAGAAGACTACTTCCTCTGAAAGTCGCCGCTCGACCTCCCGCGAGAGTGGCAAGGAAGGGATTCAAGTTTGAACGGAAGCCACTCCCTCACTTGCGAGTCCCGAACAGCCCGAGGCCCGCCAGAGCTCCGCACAGAGCGTTGTCAACCTGCAGCAGGTGTGAGAGGGGTAGGTCCGATCCTCCTACCATCACCAGGCCGGGGACAGCGAGAGGGTTCCCGAGGAAGGCGGTGGCATCCCAGACGGCAGTGCAGAGGATCACTCCTGTAGCAGCCTTGGCGCTCGTCCTGCCGCATCCTCGTCATCGTCGCCGTCCTAGGGACACCCTCCGAGTCAACCTGGCGAATTCTGCGAACCTCTTGTGCTTGTGCTCTTGGATCACCCAGTCTCCCGCTTCTTCGCCTATTAGCCCCTCATCACCCTACTTAACAAGCAAACTGTAAACTTGCCTTGAATCTCCTCCTCCCCTTGCTCGCTGGCAGCACATGCTGCTTCCCGCACATCCCCCGCCTGCAGCTACAAGTCATCGCCAGTCAGGGGCAGGACGCTATCCTGTACATTGTCACTCCTCTCTTTCAAGGTTGAAGACCTCTCGAGCAGATCGACGAGCTCTGACTTCTCCACGATCCCGTAGGTGCTGATTCCTTGGAGGTGAAGGATCCGCAAGATCTCACTTGTCTTCATCGTCCTCCCCTCCCACTTGCCATCCCTGGCCTCAACAGCATCCGGCACCTCCTGCAGTAGTTGAGATCAGCAAACGTGACTTTAGCCTTCCTTGCCCAACCTTGAAGGGCAACCTGTTGGCCTCCTCCCTAACGGCCTGACCGACGGCGAGCTTGACTGGTGCGTCCTCCACCGCCCCTGCTGAGCTCAAAACTCATCCCCTTGGGAGCGCGTAGGAGGACTAAGGGATACCTTGCCGCTGCGTCTGATGCATCCTTTGAAACGCTTCCTTCTCCCTCTCGAACTCCTCCCTCTCCATCCTCAAGACCTCTGCATGCTCCGACAGCGAGGCATTCAGCTCGTCCAGCCTTCTCAGCGCCGCCTTGTACTTCTCCTCCAGGGCCGAATGGATCGCAACGCACCTCTGGTCTTCACTGGGCATAATGAGGAAGAGCACGTTTGTGAAGAGAGACGTGAAGGCAAGGGACACCAGCAGCCGCTGCCATGTCCACTTGCTGAGAAGCATCCGCCCGCTCCTGCTCGACCCGCTCCCCCGGTTGGATTGCATCGTCACTTCTCCTCCTCCCCTCCTCCTTGCTGCCTCCTTCGCCTCTGACACCGCAGTGTCCTCTCGCCTGTCACCTCATATCCATTCTCTCTCCTCTCCTCTCCTCTCCTCTCCTCTCCTCTCCTCTCCTCTCCCCCCGCTCTTCGACTTCAGAGTTTGCCTTGCTGCTTTCGGGAGATTTTCCCCTGATTTCGTCTTTCTTTTTTTGTTTTCTTTCTTTTTCTTTGTTTCTTTTTTTTTAAATCCCAAATTGTGTCCCTCAACCCGCCTTATCTCGCAGTGCTGCCCTCGTACCTTTGCTATTGGATGACTAATTAATTTGGTTATAATTATTTGTGCCTTTTCGTATCCTCCTTTGCGTACACTGAGGCGGACTTGTGCCAGACGCCAAATGCAGTGACACAATCGGGGCGCGCGGCCATGGTAGCTCACCTTCGCGATATATCCTGCTCCTGCTCCTCCTGCTCCTCCTGCTCCACCTGCTCCTCCTGCTCCTCCTGCTCCTCCTGCTCCTCCTGCTCCTCCTGCTGCTCCTCCCCCTCTCACGACTCCTTGCTTCCCGTCTTCTTGCAGACACCACCACGTGTCTTGTCTCAGCATTTCTCGATTCCACAAACCCCCACGTCGCACTATATGGACCTGAATCGCAATGTTCTCATCTCCTGCCCGTTACCACTGACATTGACTCCATGATTCTCATCAACCTTGCAATCAGTACTCTACTTCTACTTGTCACGCCTTGTCTCATCTATCCATCTGCAGACTTCCGAGTTGTTTTTCGCATTGAGTCTTTCGTTTTTCAGAGACAATGCATGCTCATACCGGCAGGAAACCACAAGAACTACACAGGAGCAGCAACCAATGGAACCAAGGTTCGTGTCCTCTCCCTCTCTACCGTGCTGCCATCGAGTGACTATTCACCTCACTCAGTGGATAGCGTGGTGTTCCAACCTTGCGATCTACGTAGCCGCGATCGATTCATGGCAGATCAAGCACATCATTGCGCATTACTTGAATGCGATCACCTCCTTCGAGTTCAGTCCCAACGCCGAGGACCTGCTCGTTTGTACCTCCCTTGACAACGTAGTGACGATCTGGAACGTGTCTACGGAGGAGGGCCTGTATTCATTGAAGCTCGACAGCGCTCCGCTGCAAGCCCAGTGGTGCAAGACTGAGCCTGACAAGATCTCCATCTACACAGAAAACGGGATCCTCAGGATATGGAACTTCATGGACGATGTTGTACATGTGTACAAAGATGTGAACCACAGCTCTGTAAACGTGCTTCGGTGGAGCAGCAATGTGCTAGGGGCGGCTCTGGTGTTGGCGGCAGGGCATGCAGACTCGAGCATCTCCTTTGTGGATGTGACGCAGAAGCGAGTGAAAAGGTTGAAGTGCCAGGACAAGAGCAACGGGGGCCACGAAGGGGGAGTAAACGACTTCAAGTGGGATCCACTGTCAACCTCCTATGGCATCGCCGCGTTTGGGTCAGGAACGCTGTCCCTCATCGACTATGAGAAGATGGAGCAGATCAAGACCTTTGAGAAGTCGCCAGGAGGTATCAAGTGCGTCGAATGGAACAAAAGCTCCCCGGGAACGTTCTTCACAGTCTCTGGTACACATGCTTCAATGCGCATGTGGAACGTCTCGCAGCACGTTCCCCTGCAGATCTTCAAGCTCGGGTACTACGGCTTCAGAAGCATCAGCATGCTCCCCAACGGTTCTCAGCTGCTTGTGGGAGGAGCAGAGGGGGACGTGGGGGTTTTCGACGTGAGCAAGAAGAAATGGGTTCATCAATTTGAAGTCGGTCACTCGGAGACGATTTTCGCCTGTGAGTTTGCACCCAATAACAAGAATATCCTCGCGACAGGATCGTTCGACGGAGTGATCAAGCTCTGGGATGTCACGACGTTCCGCTGCATAGCGACGATGAAGCCGCAGGGGGGGGGAACGCTGGGGATCATCTACTCCCTGGCCTGGTCGTCCCTTCCGGACGATCATCGGATCGCCTGCTCAACCTCTCAAGGATATGTCCACATCTTCGAGACCGAGGGGAAGAGCAAGGGCGCGCTGGTCCTGCAGAGGAAGAATCACAAGGGGCTAGTGTACTGCGTGGGATGGAGCCCCCACCGGGACCTCTTAGCCTCGGGAGGAGAAGATGGATACTGCGTGCTATACCACCCCCAGCCTGACGAGTCTGCGTCGCCGAGCTGGATGGGGAAGGGACTGAAGGAACCAGTTGTCAAGATCCATCACCCCGGCGCCATCTTCGGCTGCGACTTCAGCACGCTCCATCCCCACTGCTATCCACCACATGCCTGGACTGGGGGGTTCGGCTCTTCGACGTCCAAGACCCCGCGAACTACCAGAAGCTCAAGGAGTTCCGCCACCACTCAGCCAAGGCCTTCAGCGTCAAGTTCAGCCCCCTCGTCCCCGGCCTGCTCGCCTCAAGCTCGGACGACTGCAGAGTTGCGGTGTGGAGAGTGGAGGAGGAGAAGAAGGTGGTTGTTCTCGAGGGCCACACGAACAAGACCCGCGCCCTCTCCTGGCACTATGAGATCCCCTTCATCCTCCTCTCCGGCAGCTGGGACGGATGCATCCGCGTGTGGGACATCCGAGGGTCGGGCTCGTGCCTGCTCGTGGTCATGGACCACCATGCTGACGTGTACGGGTTGAGCTCGCACCCTGAGCGGCCCTTCCTCTTCGCGTCCTCCTCCCGGGACACTACCCTCCGCTTCTGGTCAGCAGAGCAGCTCACACCCAGCATCCACCTCCGCGCCGTCGTCTCCAACGACTGGCGGGGGGATGGGATCGCCGGCCCGTTGCCGGCCAATCTTGAAGAGCAGGACGCTACGTGTCTGTGTGGGTCAGGAGCCGCAAAGCTGGCGGAGCAGCTGGGGGCGTGCAAGTCTGACCTGGAGCGGTGGGCGTTGAAGTGCTCCTTTCTCCTCTTCCCCGACGGCGTCCAAGAGCTCTTCTGCATCATGGACAACAGCGAGTCGAGAGTTCCCCTCCTCGTCGACAACAGAGTCATGCATGCCAAGAGCATCTTGCCGTGGCTGCTGAGGAAGGCGCAGGAGCTGGAGCAGGCGCGCGGAGGGTTCGCAGGCATAGGAAGGATGACACGTAACGAAGCAATGGTGAAGGCAGCGAACATTTACGCGAGGATCGGGTACATGCGGCAGTACTGCGACCTGATGGTGGAAGCTGGTGAGATCGAAAAGGCGCTGCTGGTTGCTCCTGCCGTCTCCCTCTCCTACTGGCAGGACCTTGCCAGGAAGTATGCCGGGATGATGGCGGAGCGTCAGGAGGCTGACTGTGTTCCCCTCCTTGTCGCCAGCGGACAACACGGGAAGGCTGCGGAGTTTCTCGTTTCACACGCTGAGGATCTGGACTCCGCGCTGGCCATCGCACAGGCAAACTGCGAGCACGGGTACGAGCGGATAGCAAGAGCGATCCATGCAAGCTCGGGTCAGGAGGAGCAGGAGACTGGCAAGGCCCTTCCCACGCAGGAATCTGCAGAGGAGAGGCTTGAGATGCGGAGAGAGACTGTGAAGAGCATGAAGATGAGGTGGGTTTGAAGAGCCTTCCTGTGCTGTATGGTGTTGACACGCGCCGTCCCCTCTAGGTACAAGTCCCAGGGTCAACCCGTCCTTGCAGCATGCGTGCATCTAGCGGTGACAACTCTTGTGCTCCTTGCTTGCATCCTGTTGACCCCTCCCTGCAGATCGGAGAGGACGAGGAGGCGCTGAAAGTTCTGGTGGACGCGCACGAGCTCGAGCTTGCCATCGCTCTGTGTACGCTGGTGAGGACCACGACCGAACTTCTTTACCTCCTCCATGACTACCACCACCTAGAATCCATCGCTGCAACAAACGGATCTCGTTTTCGTTCTTGCTGCGCATCGGTTGGATCCGCTGGCCGTGCCTTGGAGGGTTGACTGGCCCTGCTGCAGGTTCGAGCAAGTGAAGGACTACGACATGGCGTTTCAGTGCCTGCAGCGATGCAAGGGCAACGAGGTAAGCCTCCCCCTTCCCTCTCCTCCCTGCCAGCTCCCTCGGGTAGGAGGAGGGGACTTGACTACTTACCATCGCGTTGATCAGAAGGAGGAGGTGGAGAGGATGATTGTGCGGTCGAGCTGTGACGATATCGAGAAAGTATCTCCTCCCTTTCTTCTCTGTGCTTTACTCCTCCCCATCCTACTCCTATCGTCCTTTCCCTCCTCCTCTCCCCCTCCACTTCTCCGTCTCCTGCTCCCGCCCCTTCTCTCCCACCGAGGGAGCTGGAGGGGAGGAGAGAGAAGGGGGAGGCTTACTTGGTTGAGGTTGCGTCGCGGCAGGCACTGGAACGCCATGTGGTAGTACTTGACGTGGGCGAAGCTGCAGCTGGGCGAGTCGACCCTCGAAGGCGCGGGGTGCGGATCCAGCCGATGCGC